GGAGCCCGCCAGTTGAGTGAACCGGAGCCCGCCAGTTGTGTGAACTGGAACCCGTCAGTTGAGTACCTGGAGCCCGCCCCGAGCCCGACCGAGAACCCACCCAGAGCTCTACCGAGAACCCACCCTGAGCCCTACCGAGAACCCACCCTGATCCCTACAGAGAACCCACCCCTAGTCCTACCATGAAAACACCCTGAGCCCTACAGAGAACCCACCCTGGGCCCAACCAAGAACCTACCCCGAGCCCTACAGAGGTACCCCAAGCCCGAGAGCCCATCCCGAACCCGAAAGAGCCCACCCTGAGCCTGACCGGGAGCCAACCCTAAGTCCTACCAAGAACCCACCCCGAAGCCCTACCAAGAACATACCCGAAGCCGGACAGACACCCACCTGGAGCCCGAACAGTCACCCACCCGGAGCCCGACCAGTCAAACACCCGGAGCCCGCCAGTTTAATAAACCGGAGCCCGCCAGTTGAGTGAACCGGAGCCCGCCAGTTGAGTGAACCGGAACCCGTCAGTTGAGTACCTGGAGCCCGCCCCGAGCCCTACCGAGAACCCACCCCGAGCCCTACCAAGAACCCACCCCGAGCCCTACAGAGAACCCAACCCCCCCGAGCCCTACCAAGAACCCACACCCCCCCCGAGCCCTACCAAGAACCCACACCCCCCCCCCAAGCCCTACCAAGAACCCACACCCCCCCCCCCGAGCCCTACCAAGAACCCACACCCCCCCGAGCCCTACCAAGAACCCACACCCCCCCGAGCCCTACCAAGAACCCACACCCCCCGAGCCCTACCAAGAACCCACACACCCCCGAGCCCTACCAAGAACCCACACCTCCCCGAGCCCTACCAAGAACCCACACCCCCCCGAGCCCTACCAAGAACTCACACCCCCCCCCCCCGAGCCCTACCAAGAACCCACACCCCCCCAAGCCCTACCAAGAACCCACACCCCCCCAAGCCCTACCAAGTACCCACACCCCCCCAAGCCCTACCAAGTACTCACACCCCACCAACCCTACCAAATACCCACACCCCCCCAAGCCCTACCAAGAACCCACACCCCCCCAAGCCCTACCAAGAACCCACACCCCCCCAAGCCCTACCAAGAACCCACACCCCCCCAAGCCCTACCAAGAACCCACACCCCCCCAGAGCCCTACCAAAAACCCACACCCCCCCCCCAAGTCCTACCAAGAACCCACACCCCCCCCAAGTCCTACCAAGAACCCACACCCCCCCCCCCAAGTCCTACCAAGAACCCCCCCCCAAGCCCTACCAAGAACCCACACCCCCCCAAGCCCTACCAAGAACCCACACCCCCCCAAGCCCTACCAAGTACCCACACCCCCCAAGCCCTACCAAGTACCCACACCCCCCAAGCCCTACCAAGAACCCACACCCCCCCAAGCCCTACCAAGAACCCACACCCCCCAAGCCCTACCAAGAACCCACACCCCCCAAGCCCTACCAAGAACCCACCCGAAGCCGGACAGACACCCACCTGGAGCCCGAACAGTCACATACCTAGAGCCCGCCAGTTGAGTAGCTAAAGCCTGCCCGGAGCCCCGACCGACAACCCACCCCGGAGCCCCGACCGACAACCCACCCCGGAGCCCCGACCGACAACCCACCCCGGAGCCCCGACCGACAACCCACCCCGGAGCCCCGACCGACAACCCACCCCGGAGCCCCGACCGACAACCCACCCCGGAGCCCCGACCGACAACCCACCCCGGAGCCCCGACCGACAACCCACCCCGGAGCCCCGACCGACAACCCACCCCGGAGCCCCGACCGACAACCCACCCCGGAGCCCCGACCGACAACCCACCCCGGAGCCCCGACCGACAACCCACCCGGAGCCCCCGACAACCCACCCCGGAGCCCCGACCGACAACCCACCCCGGAGCCCCGACCGACAACCCACCCCGGAGCCCCGACCGACAACCCACCCCGGAGCCCCGACCGACAACCCACCCCGGAGCCCCGACCGACAACCCACCCCGGAGCCCCGACCGACAACCCAACCCACCCCCCGGAGCCCCGACCGACAACCCACCCCGGAGCCCCGACCGACAACCCACCCCGGAGCCCCGACCGACAACCCACCCCGGAGCCCCGACCGACAACCCACCCCGGAGCCCCGACCGACAACCCACCCCGGAGCCCCGACCGACAACCCACCCCGGAGCCCCGACCGACAACCCACCCCGGAGCCCCGACCGACAACCCACCCCGGAGCCCCGACCGACAACCCACCCTTGAGCCCCGACCGACAACCCACTTGGGGCCCGACCGAGAACCCACTTGGGGCCCGACAGAGAACCCACTTGGGGCCCGACAGAGAACCCACTTGGGGCCCGACAGAGAACCCACTTGGGGCCCGACAGAGAACCCACTTGGGGCCCGACAGAGAACCCACTTGGGGCCCGACAGAGAACCCAACCCACTTGGAGCCCGACAGAGAACCCACTTGGAGCCCGACAGAGAACCCACTTGGAGCCCGACAGAGAACCCACTTGGAGCCCGACAGAGAACCCACTTGGAGCCCGACAGAGAACCCACTTGGAGCCCGACAGAGAACCCACTTGGAGCCCGACAGAGAACCCACTTGGAGCCCGACAGAGAACCCACTTGGAGCCCGACAGAGAACCCACTTGGAGCCCGACAGAGAACTCACTTGGAGCCCGACAGAGAACCCACTTGGAGCCCGACAGAGAACCCACTTGGAGGCCGACAGAGAACCCACCCCGCGCCCAACCTTTCATGGAGAAAATTGAACACCAGGCGACAAAAATAATTGCAGAATGAGGTCTAGTTTCATATCATGAACGGTTGAGGGTCACAGGGCTAACAACACTGCAAACTAGGCATGCCAGGATGGACCTCACCGAAACTATTAAAATATCGACTTGAGAATGGTCCAGGACGGACCGAAACTCGTCGTCCCTTCAACTTCTAGTGTGTGGTCTGGTCAACATAGTTCAGCCACGTTATTGACTCATCGCCTGCCTATTAAAATATTGAACAGTTTCGAAGATATGGATCCAGAGAACAACTTCAAAAGGTCAGATGGAACACAAACAAGGAACAACGGTTTCAAGTCCAACAAGCCGCAGTGTAGGACTGAAAACATAAGCTATATTTTCACCCACAGGGTTTTAAACCCATGGAACCGCCTATCTGCTAAAGCAGTAAATAACATAACACTTGAATTGTAAAATCCAATTTGAAAAAAAATCGGAACAAATGGGGGACCTGATCTGCTACCAGAAATTTTAGCCAAATATCCCCAGTCTGCTAACTGTAGGTAGTAACCGAGTGATTGTAACCTATCCACCGCTGCCCACAGGATGGGAGGCGGTGTGCAGGACAAACATAAATTGTGACACTAGCTCTCCACATATGTCAGGTGCTTAATTTAGAACCTGTACTTGAGGTCGATCTCGAACCCATTGTTGATGTGACGACTTATATTGAATTTTGTAACTTGCTTAGCTAAATGAATTGTGGGATTCAGTCCCTGAGCCCATTATGTGCCTCTGTAACCCTTTCCATTACCGCCCAGCAGAGGTACAACAGGTACTCAGAGAGAACTATCAACATCAGAGGCCCGAGACTGTTCAACACGCTTCCACTACACATAAGGGGCATGCATAACTGGCCGACCCCTCACAGTGTTCAAGAGAGAACCGGATAAGCACCTCCAAAGGATACCTGATCAACCAGGCTGTGACGCATACGTCAGGCTGCGAGCAGCCGCGTCCAACAGCCTGGTTGATCAGTCCAGCAACCAGGAGGCCTGGTCGACGACCGGGCCGCGGGGACACTAAGCCCCGGAAGCACCCTCAAGGTAGCCCACAAGATGGGTATGGGGTGCATAATAAACGAACTAAACTTTGATAGGCATTGTTCGAAGCTAACTCCATACGCGAAACCCCATTATATTATATAATTCTATATACTGTGTATATATAAGATATAAATATGTCAAAAAGAATTATCACTCTTACCTGGAGCAATGTTGTTGATGTCGGAAATCAGCGGTACATGTTGTCGCGTTGGCGGCACCGACGATACTGAGCAGCTGAGCCTTCAACGACCAACCGCTGTTTGAACGCCATTTTGAAATTCCATTCGTACTCCCCGAAAAGTGCGTAAACTAGTATTTGCGTGCATTATAGGCCATTCCAAGAAACCTTATTGCTATGAATATCTTGTTATCTAACAAACGAATTATTTATGTTAATATTTTTAGCACATATGTTAAATTAGGCCATTTTTCATTTAGAGGGGGTATATATATATAGCTATTTACATTTTAAGTTTGAAAAATTACCGTACAGAATTGAATGCAAAGATAAGATAAGATTTATTTATACAACCCTGTTTGGAAATTAACTCCTTTTACAATGAAATAAGACGCAAATAAGAACCTCAATTGTGTAGTGAATTTATGCATTTTGTTTTGATTAAAAGCTTAGGTAGTACAATGTACTACTTCTACTACTAATACCATATTATATATGAGGGGCTACTAAATAAAATTAAAGCACAAGCATGTTCACCTAATATCATTAGCTGACAGGTGAAATAATATGAAAGTCGGAAACTATTTGATTCTCACAATCGACTTGAGACTGGATGTGTCACAACGGAAAGGTTGATGATATTCTTGAGAGATATAAGAATTTTGCACCAAGATTGTAATATTTTGTTGAATTATCTGCATGTCTCTTGCAAATTGTCTATACAGTATACCTAGGTCATAAAAGTATTTGTGTGTACGTCTGGTAACATACTCCTTGTGAAGGAGGAAATGTATATGTTTACCTCTCAGAATGTTTGGCAATATGTTTATTTGTGATATGTGTCTATGTATATATTAACACGTTGTACTGAATGGGGTGAGAATAGCTTGAGCTACCTCATCCCTTTGTGTGTATTTTACCTCAATAAACTTATTTCAATTTCAATTTCAATTTCAATCTAGGGATCGGATGCGCCCCATCATAGAAAACGTAACTTTTGCTCCAACGTGAACAGCAACGATCAGCTGATGCCTTCAACACAACACAACACAACACTCAGCCCTCGGCAGTCAAGGGTCTGGTGTGACTCAAGCTTCAAGTCTGAGTTAATTCTCAACGTTGAGGTCTTACACGTCATAAACATTTACGTGTCTCTCCAAATAACGACTCGTGCAGTCATCCGGAGGGGAACATCTTCACCCAAACTGCGAGGAAGAGCAGCAGGTGATAACCAGTATCGGAGGCGCTAGGTCTATATCCTCGCAGGTATATTTTAATAAGGTAAGGGTTAGGAAGGAGAATCAAATGGATAACTTTATTTTTAAGAAACCCACAGAACTGCGGACAAAGAATATGTACCCCAAGAGGTATATCCCATTTCTGTGATGCACATTGTAAATATACATTGACACATTAATTGTGATGTTTTATCATTGTTACTTGCACTCAACTCTTTAAGACAGGAGTCCATTTCATTTGGATTCCATCTCATGTTGGCTTCTGAATAATTGATTGAGCTGATGCTAAAGAATCTGCCTCCAGTGAAGTTGACTATAACCTTAGAGTGGCGATAAGCAACAATAATTCACAAAGAATTTCAACCAAACCTTGTTAATCTGAGGCAAAGTGAAATCTACAGTAGCAATTCCATCAATCATCATTATATCATGTAAGAAGAGCCACACATCTATGGAGCATCCAATAAAATCAGCAGACTCCTAGATGTTACTACTGCTCAGCTTAGACTCGGCTATAAGTATCTCTGGGAATTTGCATTACCTATCAATGTAAACCTGACCAGATGTAAACAGTGTTAGTAAAATTATTCGCACACCCTCCGTCAATATATGATGTACAAAAAATGCACAAATTTGCATTTGTGATGTAAATAACATGTAACTGTTGTGGATAGTCGTATGGCATCCAAATTTACCCATTTTTTTTCAGTGCAGTTGATTTAAATCCAGTAGAAAAGTTCCAGGTTTCATTACCACAGAGACCAGACTCATTTGGGCACGTTTTCTTACAACTTGGGTCTCGGTTCACCTTGCAGTACAGGTACTAGAAAATAATGTTGAGGTAATACATTATCAGTGTATGCATGTTTCTAAAACATATAATATTAAAAATACAACTAATAAGCATTGTTGACAAACTATTTTATTTTATAAGGCATCCCTCAGTTGCTGCCAGGTGTTTACTCTCTGATATTGCTAAGCCTAAGGATTGTGCCAGGCCTCTGACTCCCGTGGTAATGTACTGGGAACCAGAACAAGAATCTGGCTCTTCCTACGAGGTGAAAGAAGTTTCAGGATTAGAACCCAAATTTGAGGGAAACCAACCAGAAACAAATTAGTGCTTCAAAGAAATAAATTTAAAAAGTTTAAAATACGGTAAATAATAGTTTGCTATTGGTGAAAAGCATTAGCCTAGGCTCATCCAGCCAATATTAGATTATAGCCCACCCCGCTACATACCTTTCTCACTCACTTTATAATTCCTGGATTAGCTGCCGTCTGTTTGATACATGTTCAATTTGTTAGTACAGGTAATTGGTGTAGGCTATCCATTGCCCACTTTGTTTCATGCTTCAAAATTCTCTCATTTCACTCACCTGCTGTTCCCAGTATCATATTTTGCTACACCGGAGATATCATTTCTGGGGGGTTTGGGTTCATCTAGGTGTCTTCTGAGTTGCTTCACCTTTAAGCACTGGTAGATAATAATAATTCCCATTGTTGGGAATAAGAAGACTATACTTTAGGTATATTGAGGTCCCCCCCCCCCCATGCTAATTACTGACCTTTTCCACAGTACAACCCACAGCAATTGCCTAACTCCCAGGTACAGTACTTATTTTACTGTTAAGTGACCACAAGCATCTGATGAGAGGAAGCATGCCCAAATGTGTGTATCTTGCCCTGGGATTGAACCCGGGGTCCCTTGGTTGTGTTAAAAGATAATCTAATTTTCATTAACTCTTCTGCTGTGGCATATATTTGATGGCTACCTCTTGTGCTGCTGCTTTTTTTTTTTTTTACAAAATTCAACGAATAATTCTAGGTTATAAAATTATAGAGAAAATTGTAATATGTCCAGGAAAATATTGACAAAATTCTAGTTGCTATAGTTTTGCTGTAGTAGTTCCAGAAATGTGGCTTTATACCCAGAGCACCTAGATGACAAATTAACAACAACAAAATTTGAATACCAGTACTGTACTCAAACTTGGTTTTGTATGGCAGAAAAAAGAAGATTACTGTACCATACAATGATGCTCAAAACTTAAGTTGCTATAATGTGGGTGTACTCGCCTAGTTGTGTTTGCGGGAAATGAGCTCTGGCTCTTTGGTCTCGCCTCTCGACTGTCACTCAACTGGAGATTGACAGTGTGTGGGAGATTGAAAAGGGGTTTTTGCTCCTCAATAAAAGAACAACAGCTTTATAAACATAGAAATTTTCTAACAATTTTAGAAAAACAAACCAAGATCACAGGGAAATAAAGTGAAAATTCCTATTTGCTAAACTAGGTGTGGCTCATCCCTTCAGTATCTCTGCCATAAAAAAAAAAAAATATGTAGACACTTGAATTTTTTTTTATAATATAGTAGAATTTATGTTGGTGTTGAAAAATAACTAAAACAAAGTAGCTGCAGTACTTTCACTCTGTTAGCATGTATAAATTTGTGTATGGAAGACAGTCTGCCCTACATGGCCTAATTGAGCTTGTCCCCACACATGTACTTTTGCATTCAAATACAGTAATGTATTTATTGTCAAATGTCAATATATGATTAGCTATTTGCACAGGTTCGTTCAAGGAGACCATCTGTTATTACAATTAATAAAGTTATGACTAATAAGTAATGTGCATGAATGTCCTGCCTAATAGCTGCTGAGGATGTGACTGGGCAAGATGAGAAAATTAAATGCTTTCTTTACCATGGCTAGATGGTCCCTAATTCCTTCCCAAATTCAACCAATGAAGGCCATTATCTTAAAAGACCTTTATAGATTGCACTCTCCCAATCAGACAGTAGCAAACTTTTATCTAGCCTCCCACGTGTCTTAACAGGAGCAGTTCGCACATACCCTGGAAACCCCAATAGCATTTCGAGCATGCCCCTCAATAAAAAAGTCACGTACCAGTTTCTTGTATAATTGTTTACTGCTTTTTGATGTGATTACATTCATTTTTAATTTTCTATAGAGCATGTCATCAGTGTGGAACACTGCGGAAAGCCTATTGCTGGGGCCAAGCATGGACTCTGCAAGGGGCATGGCTGGCCACCTGTCAGAAGTTGCTCATTCTGTAAGTTTATAGATATTTTATCTACAAAGTTTAACACATACTGTATTGAGTTTATTTAGATCTTTCTTGGTGTATCACAGTTGCCTCTACTTAAGAGTTTTGGTGTACAGTACTGTGTAATCTAAATAGGAGCCATATATATCCACTGTCTTGTGCATTGGTTAAGTGAACATACTGTACCTCTGTTTTGAATATTTAAGGCTTTATTGCTGGGCCTTTGACTATAAAGTTTCAATATGAAAATTTATAAACTTGCATGAACTTCAATTTTTTAGTAAAGTTCTGTATATTTTACACAGTTCTATAAATAAATGATTTTCCTTTCCAAAACTGGTCAGCCTGTATTTACAATTAAACTTTACAAGTACTGTAGAGTAATACACATTTGCTTTGCTTTAATACTATAATTTATAAAAATACTGCAGTACTGTAATTTAATGTACATTGCAGTTGCTTGTTACTTTATTTATTGATAAATTAAAAGTATGCAAAAAGTGTTATTACTTTTTAAATATAGTTTTACAAAATAATTACTTTATTCAAATTCTACTGTTAAGGTGTTGAAAGAATTAAATTTGGATTTTAATGGATGTGACTAAGTAGGTTGCTATATGTTTTGAGAGTAAAGCTTGTTTCTTTGATCGGTTTTATTTTTGTAATAGGTAAATGATGCAGAAGACGACATGCTGTCTATCACAAATACATCTACCGCAGCAGTAGTAAACCCACAAATGAGTGCTATAAACTTACCTGGAAGATCGTCCCCAGCAGGCACACCTCCAGGTAAAATATATTAGTTAATAAGCTTACAACAAAACCAGGAGAGAATTTTTAGATATACTACAGTATATCAATTCCAGTATACATACAGTAGTATAAATTGCAAACGAAGGTGTTATATTTATATATAACAATATAACATATTTATATTGTACTAATATTAGTCTTTGTCATCGGAGTTTGAATTTTTACTGTATTCAAAAGATTGTTGTATATGAATCAAATATTTTGAATTAATATATTAACTTTATGCATTGACCATGGCTATTTCATCAGGTTCTGGTCGAGTGTTAACTGATAAAGGTCGTGGCCGTGGAAGCAGTCTTCCTCCAGCTATTGCAGAAAGGCTGGCTCGACACAAAGCTCAAGAACAACTAGTTTTCAAACGAAAGCTCAAGCATCTAAAGTGTATTATCCGTGACTTTGTTTTTGTGAGTTTGCCAACACATCTTCTTGCAACCATCATTGTCATGATCCTTCTCTACAGCATTCATGATTAGTCTTAAGTACAGTAATTTATTGCACATAACTTTTAAATCTGCTTGATCTCAGTTGTGAGGAGAAAAATAGATCTTTCCTACTGATTGTCTTTTTGATTCACAATCAACTTGATAATAGTCCAGGACGGACCAAAACCTTGTCGCTTTTTCATCTTCTAGTGTGTGGTTTGCTTCCAATCCCCGTGTGATTGGAAGCATTCTATGTCTGCCATCGACCGGGTTAGGCACCCAGAAAGGTAAATGTCCCAAAACAAACCCCTATTCTGGTGAAAATTGCAACCAAAAGCTAAACGAGTGGATAGAACTCCCCAAACAAAAACGAGCAAACTAGTATGATGTCACCCGTCGTTGCGCCACTGTCTGCGCAGCTCCCCCCCCTCCCCAGGAGGGGGAATGGGGAGCCCCAGACCCACCGCGCCGGCGATCCACACCTCAGTTCTTGAGGCTGATGTTATCGGCTCGGTTGTGTGCTCTGGCTCCGGTCTTTTTGCGGCGCTGTGCCTTGTGTGTGGCGAAGAATGAGACTGCTGCTTTCCAGAGAGGAACCTGGGTTGTTGATGCTTGGTTGGTTAGGCTGGGGGTTCATCATGTTTTGTGTCCAGTTGCGGCTCTTCACCGTTATTTGCACGCCACGGCTTCTGTGTCTGTGGACGTGCTTTGGGTTGATCCAGTTTCCCTACTTCCCTGTTAACTGGTGCGGGTCTCCCAGGTCGTCCGTAGGGTTATTAAGTCTAGCCAGCCTGCGGTCTATCCCTGTGCCCATGACATCCGCAAGTTCGTGGCTCTTGCCGCCGTCTTTGGCAATATGTCATGGGCTGACATTCGGGCCCTGGAATTTTGGCGGTCGAACAGGGTCCTGGCTGCTCGTTACCTTGTTATCGTTCCTGGGTCCAGTCAGGCCTGTGTCGCTTTGGGTTGGTGGATGCAGCCAGTTGTCTCAACTTTGGGTTGAGGAGTAAGCAGCAACCGCCTCCTGGGTTAGTCGCTACTCTTTCCTCTGTGGGTAGATAGCTCCGGGGAGTCGTAAGAGCTCCCCCCAGAAAACCAGCGTTGAATGTATTGAAACACCATTTTCTGGGTGAGTCCAGGAGGCTCCCCGGCATTCCTCCCTCCCTCCGGTCGGCGTTTTTTCACGTGTTTTGACATCCAGCTTCAGAACTGGGGTGTGGATCGCCATCACAGTGGGTCTGGGGCTCCTCCTTCCCCCTCCCGGGGAGAGGGGAGCTGCGCAGACAGCGGCGCGACGACGAGTGACGTCATACTAGTTTGCTCGTTTTTGTTTGGGGGAGTTCTATCCACTCGTTCGATTTTTGGTTGCAATTTTCACCAGAATAGGGGTTTATTTTGGGATGCATACCTTTCTGGGTGCCTAACCCGGTCGATGGCAGTCATAGAATGCTTCCAATCACACGGGGGTTTCTATAGGCCATTGCTCCCCTTGCCTCTCTAGAGGGGGCCAGGTTCTGGCTCGTGGTCCCTGGTAGGCCCAAAGAACTCCATACACATGACTGATGCCAAAGTCTGACATTAGCATATCAGCCTAGTAAGCTCCGGGGAGCCTCCGAGACTCGCCCAGAAAATGGCGTTTCGTTACATTCAACGCTGTTTTTTCTTTTTCTTTTTTCTTCCCTTTTCTGCTTACTTTGTTTAGCTACATTAGACCCTTTGCAGTTTCATTCATTTTTATGCTAGCTCAATCTTTTTCTTTACCTCTACACTTATGCCTCGCTTTCTGTCTTGCCATATATTGGTGCACACTCTCATCCCTGAGCTGTGTCATAACTTGATATGGGTACCAATCTTACCAAAATATTATTTTAATTTCATTTTATGTGTGTGGTTTAAGTTATTTATTTCTAATACATTACTTTTACTGTATTAAATTGAAGTACTAGAATACTAGAACTAAAATCATACTCCAAGTTGCCTCTGGCTTAACTTACCTAGAAACTTTTCTATAATTCTGCTACATCAATAAATATTGTACAGTATACCCCTAATTTGAAGTACTGTACAGTGTGTTTAATATTAACTCCTTACGATACAGTATTTATGCCGAGAAATTCACCCGGTATCTTATTTTTTAGCTTTATATCTTATTATATAAGTATTAACTAGCAATAATACTCTCCAGATTATAATTTATTTTGCTTTATTTATTTGTTTACCAGGAAAATGCAGCTCTCTGTGATCAGGTAGCAGAGGCACAGCAGCAAGTGGTTGTGGCAGCGGAGGAGAGGACATTTCTCCTGAAGAGATTGTGTCAGCACCAGACCACAACTGACCAACATAATCAACTTAATCCAAAAGTAAAAAAGATTTGAGAATATGCTATCAAATAAGTAGAATGAAGTCACTACAGATCTCTTATTTTATTTAGTACAGTACTTGGGCGCAATGGGTAAACAAATTGTCTATAAAGTATCTACAACAGCTTGATTTTTTACTTTGCTTCTTTCATACTATATTTTGAGTAATTGATTAACTTATGGACTAATAGCTACATATGTGTATTTTAACATTTGAAATCTATTTATTCTATATAGTCCTAACTCCTATCTCTTAAACTGCTAACTGTTAATAGCTGATATCCCCAGTGTGCTCAAGAGAAAAATTGTTCTGAAAAACTTATTTTTTCTTATGACATTGTTAATTAGCCTTCAGGAAGCACAAAAATGCAAATAACAAGTCTCTAGCTCTTGTGGTTTAGCTGTAGTGGCCTAGAGAAGCTGCATATTTTTAGGTGAAATGAGTTGAGATGCCACATAGGAATAACTTTGAGGATTTATGCGCATTTGATGGTGCTACATAGCCTTCCCGGTTTGGTGCCTTCTTTTGATAATTACTTACTTACTTACTTTGAGGATTTATTTTCATTGTTTCTCACTTTATTTATTTAGTTTCTTCATGCTAACAGAATGTATTTGTGTGTCAAAGGTGCTGTCTATTATGTATAACTTTGAAAATATGAGTGTGTGTGAATATACGAGTATATATATACAGACACCCAAATACTTATTCATAATAATATATGTATATATAGTATATATATATTATAAGCCTAAATTTTAAAATTGCATATAGCACACATTTTGCCTCAAATATATATTCATGGTAATCACTCATTTGCTGTTGCTAAAAGTTTAGTGTCTCCTATATGGCTGCCCTAAACGTTCAGATACTGGATGGTGATGTTGCCAAGCAATGGTCATCATTTTCTTACTAAGGCCCTAGAAAGAAAGTGTTTGTCTCAGAAATTATATATATATATATATATGTATGTATGTATGTATGTATGTATGTATGTGATTTGCACCATTCTGTGACAATTAATCCAATCATATACAGTGGTACCTCAGCTTACGAATTTAATCCGTTCCCAGAGACGGTTTGTAATCCGAAAATTTGTAAACTGAAGCAAATTTTCCCATAAGAAATAATGTAAATTTAATTAATCCGTTCCACACTCCCCCAAACAATTAACTTCAAAGTAAATTTTATACCTAATTCACCCAAATCTTTAGTACTAAAGTATGTACAAGTTATTGCTTACCTTTATTGATGATTCTTGTTGGCATATGGAAGATGGTGAGGGGCAGAGGAGGAGGAAAGGTGTTAGTGTTTGCAAGGGATGTCTCCTTCCATTATAACATCAGGCAGTGATGACTTCTCTGGGAACACTCTGGCACATTTTGCCTGCATACCACTAGGACCTGCTTGTGGCTCACTGCTTGTTTTTCACACTAAAAACCTGTCTAGTGACACTTGTTTTTCCCTACATTGTAACACTTGTCTGAAGTGAGGCATCACATTGTCATTAAGAAGGTTAACACAACAGCCTATTACAGCTTGCTCTGGGTGAATTAATAACTTTTCAACATCCTCAAGTGTTTGAGTTCTTTGTTTCGTGATTGTTGATATGCCTTTTTCCGTTTTAGCACTTATAATGTCCTTTTTCTTAGCAATTACAGTGCATAGTGTTGACATAGATTTGTTGTACTGCCTAGCTAGTTCAACAACCCATGTACCATTTTCATGTTTACGAATAATCTCTTGTTTTTCCTCTATGGTTATTCTCACATGTGTTTTCTTGGCTTGAACCTTACCATTGGCTTTCTTGGGACCCATGGCAAGATATATAATGATAACTTTTATGTTTAAATACCCCAAAATCCAAAAAAACACTAAAATTCTTTACAAAGAATTCAGGCGCAATTGTCACTAGGCTGGAGGCACTGGTAAACTGAGGCATGGTCAGTGCGCCACCACGCGCTAGGTTGGCCATACGAATGTTTGCGTATCAACAAAGTTCGTAACCCGATTCGGATTTTACAAAGAAATTGGGCTCGTAACCCAAAAAGTTCATAAAGAGGGGCATTCATAAGCTGAGGTGTCACTGTATGTATGATTTGTGCCCTTTCAGAGTTAATCCCTCCCAGGATCTTATTAAAAGGCAACTGCAACAAAAGTTTCTCCATAAGACTCCGTCACCACACAGACTATTCACTCTTTCACGCTCTCTTTCCCCTCCCCCCACCTGTTGTTTCATGTATTGTGCCACTGTTTCCTTTTAAGATACAGTACTGATCATCTGCCTTAACCATATAGTCTCCTTATTAAACTCTGTTTATTTTGGAGGGGAGGGAGCCCCGTTGAACCTAAAGGAGCACGGAACTGAACCCAGGAAGGGTGGACGCCAAATCCAACTCGTTCGAGGAGGGGGAAAAGAAAACCCCACTCCTCGCATCAACAAGCCCCGTACGGAGGGTAAAAAAAAACAAGCGGGGTTCAACGGGCCCCAAGCCCCTCAAGTTAACTCCTCCCCAACACCGGTAACCTCCCCATGAGGACCCGGGCCGAGCCGTCCTCCAAAACCCCTGCCTCTAAAGAAAAAGCAGGAGCAGCCGAGAAAGCAGGAATGAAGGGGGCCCATTGGTCAAACCTAGACGCCCCGGCTGGAGGAACATGCTCGAATATCTCCGTTGCCACTTCAGAAGGGGCCATTTCCCGAAACCGTCCCAGTCTCAACACCAACTAAACCCTGCCCCGACTCCGAAACCTCAGAAGCCTTGGAGCCAGAAGCGGGGGAGGGGGGGGGCAGGACGAACAACAGAAAGGGAAGGGCAAGGGGGGCGAACAACTGAACCAAGGGCAAAGCGACCAACACTCCCACGTTCGGGTCCCAATAACCAAAACGGGGCAATCTCGGGGCATCTGGGGTAGCAGCCGACCTAGCGCGTTGCAGCAACCTAAACCGAGCAAGCAACGCCAAAGCTGCTTGCACCCACATATCATGATCATTGGGCTGGGTGAATTGGAGTACGAACAAACAACAAAACCCGCAAGACTGTGGGTCGAAGGTGTCACCGACCCATCAGGCAGCATGATGGAGGCACAAACAGTGAGTGTCACCCTGAGACAAGGGGACAGAGCAACCTTCAAACTCGCACGAAGGGAGAGAAGACCCAGGGGTCACATCCATAAGACCAAAGAGCCCCCACGGGGTTTCCCAGGGGCCTTTAGTTGCGTAATTTTGCTAAGGGAAGCTTAGGCAGGGTACTGCTAACCGGCGCCCAAAGTTATTAGGCAAACTGCTAAAGCTGAACCCCTGGGACGTGTACTCTCACGGGGGGCCTAGTGGAAGATCACCGTGATATAAATGGGTGTGACCAAACCAAGAGGCAGACCCCACCTCGCACCAGGCAGGAAAACAAAAAAAGAAAAACCCCGCAAGAGGACAACATGCCCAGGTGAAACAGAGCCCGGCCACTATGAGAGGTAAAAACTAGCTGCACAGTACCCTGTGCCCTAACCAGTGACGAAACTACCCCTACCCAGAGGCAAACGGTGGTGCATGAAACACTCCAGCTGACTCCAAAGGGGGTCAGTCACCGAGCAGCAAAAGACCTTGCGGAGGTAGACCACATCGTGAATTGTGGAAGGTGGCCCCAAGCCCCATGGGCAGTACTTACAGGGCACCTAGGGAAGGGGACCCTACGGTGCATGCAGCCCGAGTACTTGTGAAATTACTCCTGGCTCGCACACCACTTAGTAGACAGGACCTCACCACAAGGTACAGAACTGGAAAAACACTGGAGCCAGTAGTGCACCACCTTGCCAGTGCATATCAACCTCAGAACTGGGGTTTGGATAGCTGGTGCAGGGGTCTGGGGCCCCCCCACTTCCCACTCCCGGGAAGGGGGAAGCTGCGCAGACGGCGGCATGGTGACGTGGTGAGGTCATACTTGTTTGCTCGTTTTCTTTTGGGGAGTTCTGTCCACTAGTTCGGCTTTCAGTAGCAATATTTTAACCAGAATAGGGGTTTGTTTTGGGGCGCTTACCTTTCTGGGTGCCTGACCTAGTCGATGGTAGACATAGAATGCTTCCAACTACACGGGGGTTTCTATAGGTCATTGCTCCTCTTGTCTCTCTGAGGGGTTCAGGCTCTGGCTCGTGGTTCCCGGTAGACCTAGAACTCCATGTGCATTGACTGATGCCAGGGTCTAATACATTCATATCAACCCGGTTTGCTCTGGGGAGCCTTCAGGTCTCGCCCAGAAAATGGTGTTTCATTATATTCAACACTGTTTTTTTTTCCACCTTTCATGTAAAACAAATCTCAAGCATTCTACAAACAGATCATAACATTTAAGTGTATTGCACTTTACCCACTCCAGCACTCAACATGTCATTCCCTCAATCCCCCTTGCCCAATCACTTGGGCTGGACGGTAGAGCGACGGTCTCGCTTCATGGAGGTCAGCATTCAATCCTCGACCATCCAAGTGGTTGGGCACCATTCCTCCCCCCCCCCTGTCTCATCCCTAATCCCTATTCTGACCCCTTACAAGTGCTACATAGTCGTAATGGCTTGGCACCTTCTCCTGATAATTCCCTTCCCTCACCCCCTTTAACTCATAATACATCTCTCATATGCTTCCTCATTGCTACTGTATAATCATCCCACATCCATCCTGCTTTTCTAAAAAAAAAAGTTGTTTACACTGCCCATAATCTTAAGCACACCCACTTTTCATTCCAAAGTTTCACTTGCATATAGTATCATAATTGGGAGTTGCATGCTACAGTGGCGCCTCGATTAACAAATTTAATCCGTTCTGGCACCGAGCTCATCACGTGAAATGCTTGTCTTGCGAAACAACAACACTGTCGTCGGAGGCATCCGAGAACCAGCGGGAACGCTAGGAAGCACCATGTGGTTTGCTCGTTAATCGAGTGAAAGCTCATCAATCGAGACAAATTTTCTGCCAGTGGCTCGCTCGTTACTCGAAATGCTCGTAACTGGAGTCGCTCGTCATTCGAGGTTCCACTGTATCTCTTGAGTCTTTTCTTAATACTGTCTTTACATCTTCTACCAGTACACACAAAATCAAACTTTTTTGATCTTTCATTCCTAACCTTCACCTGTGTGTCTATGCTTCTCCAAACACAGATCCACCAAGAAATCCCAATTGGCATTTATACTAGATATACCATGCTTGCCAATAACTTCTCTGCATTCATTTCCCACCATAGCATTCATATCCGCCAGCACAATAGCTTCGTACCCTTTTATAACTCCTCTGTACATTCATTCAGTCAATTCCAGAACTCCAACTCATTTTCTTCTGTAATATTATTCTTTACGTTGCACCATATGCATTAAAAATTACGTGTTTCTCTTTCTATGTTACATTGGTTTCAATGTATTGTTTTAATTGTTACACACTCATACCCGCTATTATATAACTTCTGCCTATCTAAATTTGTACTGGATTTACAGAGTAACAGCTACTTCATACTGGGTAGTGGTAGTGTGGATAATTGGGACAGCAAAAAACCCAAGTTAGCATCACTGAAGCGTAAGCTTTTAGACCCAAGCCAAGGTAAGAGAAATAAAATGATGCTCAACTGTCCTATATGTATAGTGCATTACCCAGTTAATACAAGATGTAAATTATTTTTGGATTTGGTAATATATTTTGACTATTACAGTTAATGCAGTGTTCAAGGTTCACTATGCACATGTGCATCTTTGTTTAAGTTAATTTGTAATTTTTTATATTTTCATGGTGTGTTTGCTTCACTCTTAATAGGTAGTCCAAGTGCCATCACATCTCCAGTTGGGACAGAGAAAATTGTGAAAGCCAGGAAGAGTGGAAGTACTAAACCTAAGCGTCTTTGTCCACCCATTACCTTAGATTCAGCTGGACGACCTATATTCCCAATTACTCTTGGGCCTCTCACCATTCACAGTCTTGGAGAGGTGAGCCTCATACTTCAGTTGCTTGGTATCTTCCTTTGATAATTATTTACTTATACTGCAATCTATCTTGCTTTTATTGATTCTTTAATGTTAGAGTAGGTTATTATGCTCTCCTAAAAGACAAGGCATCAAAGATATTTCTGTTAATCAATCAGTCTCTTCTAAAAGTGTCTAATTACTATCCTTATCTTTTTTTAAATAGCTTTGAAAAATATGCTAAAAAAAATTTAGAGTAGGTTTAGGAAATATTGTTCTATAAAACTATTAAAGATTCGTCTCATGATCTCTCTCGTTTCTGAAAAACTGGTGCTGAAAACAGTGGTTACCCATCTGCTTATGTGGAACTTATTTAACTGCATAAAGATATGATAATGAAGTTCAAAATCATTTTCTCATAGAGTACTGTTAAGAAAGAGCAGGTTGAGAGAAGACTTTATTGTTCAGGAGATTTTGCCTATTAGGTCTTTTCTCAAATCTACCAAGCTTTATAGGGCTGAAGATGAGATGAGGCCAGAAAGATGAGGATACTGTATATGTCACAATTTATATATTTTTATGTCAATTTGTATTAGCAAGTTGAGTCAATATGAATATTCCTTGACTGTGTAATGCTGTAGTGTTTGATGCCTGCGGATTCAATACACTATGTTTTTAATGTTATCTTTGATGAAGACGCATTTATTATCCTTAAAGTTCATGAGCGGTTGCTCCTGGTTTCTCCATAGTGCAAACATTAGTGGTGTTATCGACATGACATGCATACTTGTGTTTGTAAAGCCTCACATCTACATCTCTGAAGGTTTCACATACGTATACAGTACTTTGTCCCAATTGCTATATCGGAATTATTATATACACCTCATCCATGATGATCTTCTACCTGTTTATTTTACTTCTGACAATAATTTCCATGGTTGTTCTCCACTAGGCCTTGATGAATGTTGGGAATGTCGTCCGACCGATTATAACTAACCATTTCAGGTATATTTTAGGATTATCCTTCCTGGTGTTGTTTGACAGACTTTCAGCCCTAGAGATATATTTTCAGAATGTTTGGTGTAGTTTTTATCATGGTTTGAATCATCTTAAGTTTTTCCACTGCCTTGGTTGTGCTTAGGATTTTGTCCAAGACCTGCACCTTATCACTGAACAGGTTAATAAAAAGTGATAGGTGAAATCTTGATCGAGATGAGTGGAAAACCCAACTGTACTGTACAAGTTATGGCAAGGTTTCAGGACAGATTACAACAATACATGTACAGATTACGATAATACATGCAAAAGGTACTGATGGGGAACTTTACATAAGGAAAATTTTGTAGTCGAGGTATTTAAATGAATCTGAAATAGTAATATAATGTGAGCTTTTAAAAAATATAGATACAGTATATTTTTCTATATAAAAAAATACTGGTGCCCATTTTCATTAAATAATTACTGATACTTCATGAGGATTTTTTTACAATCTATTTAGATTGGCTGAAAGAATGTTCAATATTACGTAGCTCTTTTATGTCTTAAGTTTATTCATAAATAATTATGGAAGTTTCTTTTAACAGATTGTAAGTGAGCGAGACTCATATCATAGTGAACAGTGCATCTTCCCAGTTGGCTTCTGTTCTTCTAGAATATATGCAAGTCTCAGAGATCCCCTTAAGCCAGTGTTGTACACTTGTAAGATTTTGGATGGAGGTCTCATCCCGCGGTAAGTTTATATATTCCATTTTTCTTATTTCATTATTATATTCAAGGGGGTATTATGTTTTATTTGTTTTCTGGGGCGAGCTCCTACAGCTTCCCAGAGCTTCCCGGCTGATATGAATATCCCTAACTTTGGCATCAGTCGATGTGGGTGAAGGTCTAGGCCGACCGGGGACCACGAACCAGAACCTGGCCCCCTCAGAGGCACGAGAAATGCACATGTGATTTGGAGCATTCTATATCTGCCATCGACCGGGACAGGCACCCAGAAATGTAAGCGCCCCAAAACAAACCCTTATTCTGCTTAAAAACGACAAAAATAGACAAACGAGTGGACAGAACACCCCCAATTGAAAACGAGCAAACGAGCATGACGTCACATGATCCGCGCCGCATGTCTGTGCAGCTCCCCCCTCCCCGGGAGGGGGGGAAGGGGGAGCCCCAGACCCTCGCGCCGGCGATCCACACCCCAGTTCTTCGGCTGATGTGATCCGGCATGGACGTGTGGCTTCAGCTCAGGAGTCTTGTGTTGTGCTGTCCTCTGTTTCAGTACAGCTCTTACGGTGGCGTATGAGCTGGGAGTAATATTCACAGGTATTCGGACTGTATGTGCTTAGGATCACCTTCCCTGAGTGCCCTGTAAGTACGTACTCCCCTAGGGGCTTGGGGTTCTCTTCCACAAGTCACCTTGGGTCTACCTCTGTTGGTCTTTTGCAGCTCTGCAGTCAATAGCAGTTGACCGCCCCAAGTGTTTTGGGGGGGTTTCCACCCTTGTTTGCCTTGGGGTAAGTGGTAGTTTTGCACTGGTAAGGATGCGGGGTACTGCACAGCTAGTTTCACCTATAATGGTGGCCAGCTCTGTTCCCTCTGGGTACGCTGTTCTCTTGTGATTTTTTTTTTTTTTTTTTTTTTTTTTTTTTTTGCTGCCTGTAAGGGATGTTCTTTCCCCCCTGTTATTCTAGGGTTTGCATTTGTTTGGCGGTACCCCCTGCTTCGCCCTCGTGAGTGAACACGTCCTGGGGGTTCAGCATTAGCAGTGTTGGTTGGTAGCTTGGGCGATGGTTAGCAGTACCCTGCCTGGGATTACCCTTAGCAGACCCAGTCTAGGGGGGCCCTGTTCACGTGCCTTACCCGGGTCATGGTGGTCTGTCTGCATCTGTTAGGTGTTCAGGTGTTGGCTTACCTCGACGACTGGCTGGTTTGACCTCCCAGTCAGTCTGTGTCTGCTCGTCAGGGGTTTGGTGCTTTCCCAGCTAGCCGGGTTTGGGTTCCTGGTGAATTGGCGGAAGTCTCTTCTGGTTCCCTCCCAGGTTCTGACCTGGCTGGGTCTAGTGTTGGACTCTCGGACAACTTCCTTGTCTCTCCCTCCGGAGTCTCTCCTTCGGGGGTGCGGTCCTGCATGTACTTGATTCTGGGGAGCTCCCGAGTCACCTGGCAGTTGCTCAAGGGTTTGTGTAGAAGCCTGAACTTTGTGATGATGGTCTACCTGCCAGGTTGGGTTTGGCTTCGTTGACTGTTCTGGTTCCTTTGGGGTCGTCCCTTTCGCCTCTCTCGTGATCACTGGGTTCGACCCCCAGGGGCCTTACATCAGCTGCTGCATCGCCGGCTTCCTCTTCGGGTTTTTCAGAGTTCAGTGCCTTGGCGCCTACCCGAGCCCTTGCTTGATGTGTTCACGGATCACGTTGTCTCTCAGCTGGGGCTTTGTGACCAGTGCTCACCAGGCCAGCCAGGGGCGGTGGGGTCCATCCTTGCATCGGGCCCACAGCATGGTGCGGGAGTTTGCGGCGGTGTGGTTTGCACTTCGGAGGATTCTGGTCACCCGCGGATTGATAATCTAGCTCCATTCGGACTGCTCCCCGGTGGTTAATTGTCTGAACTGAGTGGGTTCGATGCAGTAATTGGCTCTTTGGGGCAGAACTATGGGGTTCAGTTCCTGAACCGATAATGTGCCTCTGTAACCCTTTCCACCACTGCCCACGGGATGGGTATGGGGCACATAACAATGAAAGAAATTGAAATTGAAATTGGGCAACACTTTAAAAATATGCTAAAGAAATTCATTTGCTGTAATCTCTTGTGATGCAAGATGGGTATTTGTCATTTCTGTGCAATGAGTAGAAAGAAATTTTATCCGAAAAAGAAAATGTGGAAATTTTCTGGAAGCTGCTAAAAATAAATAATAAATGAAATGACTGCATTGACATTATGGAACTGTGTTAATTAAGGCAATAAATGGTACTGGAGTATTAATGTGGTTATTGAGATATGATTTTTTTTTGTCAGAGAAACAACCCTAAAACTTATTTAAATGTTCAGCTTGAAGGACACAATATGAAACTTGTTTGCAGAAACAATTTCTCGTGCACAGTATATATATTTTTCAAAGGCATGCCATTCCTACATTCATAACAGTGCAAAGCGTGGACACACTCCTGTAATCTTTATTATTTTGGCAACCATTAAACCTTCCACTGTCAGGCTCTGACAGTCATGCTGAAAGCCCCTCCTGAAGGATTCTTCATGTTATCGTGACAAACACATGTTAGAACAGCAAGAACTGCAGTACCCATGTATTATGAAACAAGAATGTTTTTGAAATGTAAAGGCTGATAAAGCAAGTACAGTACATACAGCGGTATCTCAGTCAAATTTAACCCATTTGACTGGGAAAAATATAGTAGTTGCATTGGATGGAACCAGTATTTGCCACATTTATACAGCTATTGACACTATACTGTATAGTACCTTACCTTACCTTGAGGTGCTTCCGGGGCTTAGTGTCCCCGCGGCCTGGTCGTCGACCAGGCCTCCTGGTTGCTGGACTGATCAACCAGGCTGTTGGACGCGGCTGCTCGCAGCCTGACGTATGAGTCACAGCCTGGTTGATCAGGTATCCTTTGGAGTATATCTAATTTTGGAAACATCGGAATATAATTAGAACTTGATGAGCTGTGTTTGAAATCAGTTAACCATTTTCCTTATTTCCACTTGAAAAAGTGTGTTACATCACTTGTTTAGTTTTCAAAAAATGATGGTGGAAATTCATCATACATTGGAATATTCAATCAAAATTTTAATTGCAGATTTGAGGTGGTGTGTGAAGACGAAGAGGATTCAGTAGTGGTTGGAAACTCTCCCTCCGATTGTCACAACCACATCCTACAGACTATTAACCTTGCCCTTGATATGGACCTTCTTACCATCAGGTAGAACACATCATCTGGATTTATAATTTGCTTTGCATTGGCTGCAAGATATTTATTTATTTATTTATATATGTATTTATATACAAGAAGGTACATTGGGTTTGTGAGGATACATAGCATGGTATTTACAGTCTTGTAAAGCCACTAGTAAATGCAGCATTTCAGGCAGCAACACAGCATATTATGTGGCGATACTATGAGATACTCTGTGCTTTTTAGTGACACAAGGTTTATGGTGTTTGTTCCTTACAATCGCTTTGTTCAGTCGCATCTTCCTCTTCCTTTCTAAAGAATGAGACACCTGCATTTTGTAGAGGTACTTTTGAGTTAACCTTTTGACTTGGCTATCTAGTAGTTCATTGTAAATGCTGCGGTTACAGTGTTGCACCATTACTTTTAACTAGGCAGGCTTCTTGATCAGTCATTCCTTTTCTGAATGTATTCACTCTACTCCTGTGTACTAAAGCTCATGTCATCCCCAGCCCATCCTCCTAAAATGAAAGTATTTGTAGTTACTTTTTGGTCAAAGGTAGCAGTATATACTGTAGTGATGGACTACCAGAAAGTTGACTTTTGTATTATTGAATTGGGACAAACCTGAAATTATTTTAACTGCAACATAAATATAAGACATAACCTAGCCTCTCCTTGCAGTCCTAGGCATAATGCATGCTTTCTTAGGCCTAATATAGTACATGCTATTTATGTGCAATACTAAGCCTAGAAATATTTAAGTTTGGTTTTTAGCTTTATTTTTCCAGGAGCTATAAAATTAATGGTACAAAAAGGGATTTACTGGCGGTCCATCACTACATATTGGTACTTCCGACCAAATAATTACTTTAAGTGCTGTACTGTGCAGTACTATCATTTCAGGAAGATGGGTTGTTCTCTCAGGTAGTCAGAGGTTGGATTAAGACAAGTCAACCTTATGTTTATTAAATAGCACACAATCTTCTTGGTCATGCTTGCTTGGAGATTAAATTCCATGGGGTTTCGATAGATCAGACTAGATGTTAGCTAGTTACTTCCTCATCTTTTTGATGTGCAATGTGTAGCTCAGAGCCACCTTTGTCTCACTGACTCTGCCTGTTCTGGTTTATGGATTATTTGATTTTACTGGGTCCTGCTTCATGATACTGGCTCAGGTAAACCTTTCATGTTGGTCAGAAATGGGGCATTGAGTAATTAATACACTGTAGTAATATATAACAGCTCCGATTGGCCTCTGGGTTTCTCCCATTCCAGCAAATGAAATCTGTATTTAGTGAGACTGTTCGGTTGTCTAGGCTTCAGGTAAGGTTTCCATCTTTCTCATAATGTTGGGTATTTTGAGATGCCACCTTGTGGTAGCCAGGTTATAGGTAATTTAGTAGCAGCAGTGTGCAGAGGAATAATTGGTTGTTCTGGAGACCCCAATTATCATTTGCAGAGGCTGTTAAGTGATTTGTTCATGTACTTTTTATTCATAAAGTAGCTACTTTCATGGTTGAGGATGTACTCTTCTGGCTCCCCACTCTAATTATGTGCCAATTCATTAAAAAAATTGCTTTCCATAGTGAGGTGAATATCATGTAGAATGCAGCACTGTTTTATTTGATTGATTAAAATATCTTGAGAAATATGTTATTTTTTATTACAGTACTAGTATAAATTTACACACATGAATTTTGTGTGGTTAATAAAGTATTATTATTATAAGGGCCACTCATGCAATGTAGGGTTCATTAGGTCTGATGAAACATTTTATATATATATATATATATATATATATATATATATATATATATATATATATATATATATATATATATATATATATGTATATACATACATATATACATCTCGTTTAGTTGGAACGAAATTGGCATGTTTTATTGTATGTAGGTAAGTCATGTCTCGACTAATGCTCAATTATCAAACTTTTCCAGACCAGAAGGTCGTGGCAGTGAAGAGAGAGGCTGCCGCTTCTTTGGATTAACACACCCTAGTGTACAAAATGTACTACAAGCATGTCCAGGTGCAAGAAAATGTACTCAATACAAGTGGGTGAAATTTGAGGTGATTATATGGCATTATTTATTTTGCCCATGTTTATACTTAACCTATTCCACATACCATACCCACTACCCCTGCCCCTCCATCTATCTGTCCATCCCCATCCCCTTCCCTAAATCTCTCTCTAGCTCTATCTTTCAGAAAAGGACCGGGGAGTAGATATATACACAGAATTTATCAACAAGTGCCAGAAACACAACCGTTGCATTTGCCAAGTTAGCGAATACCAGGACAGCATTCAGGAATCTAAACAAGGATCTTTCAGAATCTTGTATACTGCATTCATAAGACCAGTGCTAGGGTATACAGTGCAAATATAAAATTCCCACCTCATTAAGTATTTATAAAAAAATCAAGACGGTTAAAGTTTGTTACCTTTAGTCCCTGATTAGAGAGAGCCAAACTTCAAGAACAGGTGAAGGCAAGCCAAGTCATATATTGCATAGAAAAATGAGAACTATATGGCACACATAGTTTGTATACCATATATAATAAATCATTAGAATCAGGCAGAGTGCCAGAGTTGTGGAATGTTGTTAATGTGGTACCAATTTTTAAGAAAGGAGATAGGTCACTTGCTTCAAACTATTGGCCAGTTAGCCTAACGTCAATTGTGGGAAAGTTACTCGAATCGATAATTGCAAATACTGTACCATTCGTCTTCATCTTGAAAAACATAAATTAATAAATGATTCACAACTTGGTTTTACAAATGGCCGTTCATGTTTAACAAATTTACCATCATTTTATTCCAGCTAAGTTGAGGTATTTGATAGTGGTAAGGTTTGTGATGTTGTGTACCTTGACTTTAACAAAGCTAATGATACAGTGCCACATGAAAGACTGATTAAAAAGATAGAGGCTCATGGTGTTGGGGGTGCTATATTAAGTTGGATTAGGGCATGGTTGTACCAAAGGAAACAGAGTTAGAATAAATGGGGTCAAGTCAGACTGGGAAAATGTTGTAAGTGTAGTGCCTCAAGGCTCTGTCCTGGGACCTCTGTTATACATAATATATAAGAACATAAGAACATAAGAACAAAGGTAACTGCAGAAGGCCTATTGGCCCATACGAGGCAGCTCCTATTCTATAACCACCCAATCCCACTCATATACTTGTCCAACCCGTGCTTGAAACAATCGAGGGACCCCACCTCCACAATGTTACGCGGCAATTGGTTCCACAAATCAACAACCCTGTTACTGAACCAGTATTTACCCAAGTCTTTCCTAAATCTAAACTTATCCAATTTATATCCATTGTTTCGTGTTCTGTCCTGTGTTGATACTTTTAATACCCTATTAATATCCCCCCGGTTATGTCCATTCATCCACTTGTAAACCTCTATCATGTCACCCCTAACTCTTCGCCTTTCCAGTGAATGCAACTTAAGCTTTGTTAATCTTTCTTCATATGAAAGATTTCTAATTTGGGGAATTAACTTAGTCATCCTACGCTGGACACGTTCAAGTGAATTTATATCCATTCTATAATATGGCGACCAAAACTGAACTGCATAATCTAAATGGGGCCTAACTAGAGCAAGATATAGCTTGAGAACCACACCAGGTGTCTTGTTACTAACGCTGCGATTAATAAATCCAAGTGTCCGATTTGCCTTATTACGAACATTTATGCATTGATCCTTTTGTTTTAAATTCTTACTAATCATAACTCCCAGATCCCTTTCGCAATCCGACTTCGCAATCACAACACCATCTAGCTCGTATCTTGTAACTCTATCATCATTACCTAACCTCAGAACTTTACATTTATCAGCATTAAACTGCATCTGCCAATCCTTTGACCATTTCAAAACCCTATCTAGATCAACTTGAAGTGATAGTGAGTCCTCCTCCGAATTAATTTCCCTACCGATTTTCGTATCATCGGCAAATTTGCAAATGTTGCTACTCAAACCTGAATCTAAATCATTTATATATATTATAAACAACAGAGGTCCCAGGACAGAGCCTTGAGGCACTCCACTTACAACATTTTCCCACTCTGACTTGATTCCATTTATACTAACTCTGTTTCCTTTGGTATAGCCATGCCCTAATCCAGCTTAATATAGCACCCCCAATACCATGAGACTCTATTTTTTTAATCAGTCTTTCATGTGGCACTGTATCAAAAGCTTTGTTAAAGTCAAGGTATACAACATCGCAATCCTTACCACTATCAACTGCCTCAACAATGCTAGAATAAAAAGATAACAAATTTGTTAAACATGAACGGCCATTTATAAAACCATGTTGCGACTCAATTATTAATTTATGTTTTATATATATATATAAATGATATATATATAAAATCATATATATAAATGATTTTGATTCAGGTCTGAGCAGCAACATTTGCAAATTTGTCAATGATACAAAAATCGGGAGAGAAATAAACACGGAAAGTGACTAGTTATCACTTTAACTAAATAGGGTTTTGAAATGGTCAAAAGATTGGCAGATGCAGTTTAATGCTGACAAATGTAAGGTTTTGAGGCTAAGTAATGATGATAGTTACAAGATACGAGCTAGATGGTGTTGAGATTGCGAAGTCTGATTGCAAAAGGGATCTGAGTTCTTGAGTTATGATTAGTAAGAATTTAAAACCAAAAGATCAATGCATGAATGTTCATAATAAGGCAAATAGGACACCGGGATTTATTAATCGAGGTTAATTTGACAAAGTTAATTCCCCAAATTAGAAACCTGTCATATGAAGAAAGATTAACAAGGCTTAAATTGCATTCAATGGTAAGGTGAAGAGTTAGGGGTGACATGATAGAGGTTTACAAATGGATGAACAGACATAACAAAGGGGATATTAATAGGGTATTAAAAGTATCAACACAAGACAGAACACGAAACAATGCGTATAAATTGGATCAGTTTAGATTTAGGAAAGACATGGGTAAATACTGGTTCTGTAACAGGGTTGTTGATTTTTGGAACCAATTACAGTGTAACATGGTGGAGATGAGGTTCCTCGCTTGTTTGAAACATGGGTTGGACATGTATATGAGTGGGATTGGGTGGTTATAAATAGGAGCTGCCTCATATGGGCCAATAGGCCTTCTGCAGTTACCTTTATTCTTATGTTCACATGACCTAGGCATACAAGATATTTATTGAAAAAATTGACTGTCAAGTAAAGAAATGAAAGGACATTTTTTAATGTTAGACTTAATGTATAGGGAAATTACAAGAACATGAGGTGTCAATATTTTCTTAGTACAGTGGGATTCAACCTGCATCCCCAGTGTATGTGCCTGGGGAATCCAGGTATGCTGGTTCTTATAGTTGCTTTTCATTGTTGCTACTTTTTTGTTCATGAAATTATCTATTTGAATTTTTTAAAAGTTATTATTATTTATTTTCCTAACAGGTGTGTCGCAGTGAAGCTGAAGTTGAGAGTGTATTTGAAGCAGAAAAGGAAGCATCTCTTTGCCACGAGGCACTTTTGCGCAATATCCGCTTTGCTCGACATCACGTGACATCACCTTGACTACTCTTACTAGAGAAAATAGAATAAAATATATTATGTAATTACTAGATGGGGATTCCCAGCTGTGCCTGGATTTTTCTCTCCCCATTTCCAGATCTCTCTTTCCCCCCCTCCCCTCTCCACCCCCACTTCCCCCACACTACTTCTCTTCTCCCCACTCCCACCTTTCTTCCCTCACCTCTCCGTCCCATTCTTCTAACACCCCCCCTCTCCACCTTTCTCCCCTCTTTTCCAACATACCTTCTCACAGAAGATTTATTGCAAAGCACTAAAATTGTTTAATAAGTCTACAGAAAACACAGCCTCTGTTTCAAACTTGACTTCGGGAAAAATTAAAAGTCCTTGGGGATTGTGCATTCCGATATTTCTTAGTGTGGACCACTGGGGCTGACCCAGACTGACCTATGACACCCCCCATCCCTGTCTTATGTGGGAGAGTTGGGTGAGGCTAGCCCCAAGTATCTGGCCTCCAACCACACAATATACAGACAGACAGGCATTTTTGCATAGATAAATGTACAGTATAGATAAATTATGTAAAAAAATAATTTTGTAATATTTTCATCTATTTTAAAGTTTGAAGAGAATGCATCTTTGTTTTATTCCTTTTACATTTAATATTATAACTACAGTGCTGTTCTAATAATTACAGATTTCCTCATTATTGAACCCATCCTCACACTAGGCTGTTTAAAGCAGCGGCTGTCCTCTCCAAACACATTCATAAATTTTAACATACTGTATATTAAAAACAGGTTTGTTCTCATATATAAATTATTGTTATTATACATAAATATTCAGTTTATAGTTAGGCATAGGTTAGGTCAGGTGTTTAGATTCTGTTAGCGATTACAGTACATATTTGTATTTGAAGTACATGGGTGAAGCATTTATAGAATTCAGAAGCATTTATTCCATTTATAGAATTGTAGTTCGAACTTAGGACGCGAGTGAAGTACTTGTTCCGAAAGTGTTCAGATGTCATCAGTTGTGAGTCATGTGTAAACCGCTTTTCATTCATAAATGGGGTTTGGCAGCTGGATTAACAAGCTTGGATCTTTGTATACGAGGACGGGCTGCATTATTTGCTGGCACATGGTTCATTGGATCATGCTAGGTTCATTGGATCTCATTAGGTTCATTGGATCACATTAGGTTTATTGGATTGTGCTAAGATCACTGGATCACACTAGAATCACTAAATCATGCTAGGCCACTTGATCATACTAGTGTTATTGGATTTACTGCAGTTTGATAAATCATAGTCACACGATTTTGAAGGGCCTGGTTGGCATTTCTTGGATACAGTATTTGAGATTTACTATCTTACTATAGTCCAAACTGTTCAGGAGTTTTATAAATCCAGTTCAAAAGAAGAGCAGCTCTTGAAGCTAACCAACATAGTTGGTTCCTGAAATGAAATGAAAATGTATGTAATCCATTAGCTAACAAATTTATTACCAACAAATAGTGAATGATTAAGCAAGTTAATTAGATTTTGTGGAAAATTTATCACCAATGAATAGTGAATGATTAAGCAAGTTAATTAGATTTTGTGGAACGGTTGTACAAGAGAAAAAGAGGCACATTTATTAATTTATTTTAATTTATTTTTCAAAACATTTCTGAGACAGTATTACATCGCATAAAGGAGAATAAAGTTACTCTTGACTTTTGTATAGATAAAAGCACTAAAAAGATAGATAACACCAGAACTAATATCAAATGGTAAAAGATTCCTATACTATAAATAGGTACCAATAGCGTTATTGGTAAATACAAATTAAAAGGTCGTCTGTGGATAAGTATCTGTGAATGCTACAAAGTTTTTTATGAATATGAAAACTTATGGTACCAAAGTTAAGAAATTTTATATACAGTAATATGTTTAGGGACCACATAAATTTTAAACAGGTAATAATTTAGAATTTAGTATTTATCTGTCAAATGTTTTGTTTGGGAAAGTGATATTTAATATCACTTTCATTATCACATTATGATAATGATACACATTATGACTAATACAACTGTTGTAAGAAAATAATCTTGCTATAAAATAACTTATCAGAGCAAATCTTACAAATATTTTACCAATACCTACTGCAAAAATTTATTTCCACTAATACATCTGTTCACCTCTAATGATCACTTTCCTGTATTAGAAAAGAGGTTTTTGCCGACAGCTTGCACAGTGAGGTGCCAATTATACATTTTTATGCCCATAGTTACTGGGAGATATTTGTTGCCATTTCAATAATTTTATGTTTTTTGCTGAAATTTTAAAATTTTTAAGTAAACTATCTTAAAGGGACCATTTATGCATGTCCTCATATTTGTTCTTATGTTCTGTGTACTGTTTGAGGTGGTTACAGGTTATAATTGTTAAAGAGTATGCTCTACACAAGTATGTCATACTTAAGAAATAGCTAATGGTTCTAGCACCTGGAGTAGAGCTCCGATTTGAAAAACTTATTAGTACAGAGGCTGACACTAATCTGGATTGCATGATCTACTGGAGCTATGTCAAGCACAGAAGCAGCTGACTTATCAGCCTTCTTAAGTCTGACAAGTTAGTTTGAAGTTCCAAAATATTTTGGGAAATTTCAATGAGGGCTATTCTGTCTTAATTATGCCCATTAATTTTGTCTGATCTATGAGTGCTTAATAAGATAGCAGGAAGATGGATCCTCAGTTTAGACTTAACAGATTAAAGTAGTCTTCCATATTCCCTGATTAAACCCTGCTCAGTTCAGTTTAATTCATTTATTATGCACCCCTACCCATCTTGTGGGCAGTAGTGGAAAGGGTTACAGAGGCACATAATGGGCTCAGGGACTGAACCCCACAATTCATTTAGCTAAGCAAGTTACAATCTTGGTGAACTAGTTACAAAATTCAGTATAAATCGTCACATCAACAACATATGTATTTGCTCATTACTGTATACTGATAAAATAATTGGTGCTTATTTTTGTTCAATACAGTATATGACAAGATTGATGTATTGTGCAACTATTATATATTACTGTAATAAAATTAAAATTTAACTAAAAAGTAGTGCTGTTATGAAATCTTATGAAATTTGAGTTAAATTGCTAAGTTTAATTTTCAGAAAAGAATATAATTACTAATACTGTGCTAACCTGTAATTGATAGGCAGAAGCCTATGTCTGTGCTTCTATTTCCGACCACAGACATAAAGACGAACTGCATGCTCTTCGGGGCATCATAGGTTGTCAAGAGTGACCAGGTTTGTCCTCCGATATTCCCACAATATTTTGTTCTGGGATCACAAGGCAGCAGGAAGAAAAAAAGATGGTGTCCCGAATTCCATGTGTACAAATATTAAAGCATTAACACATTTAAAATTTTGGGTTGGTGGTGGGCTTAAATCATATTAACTCTGTATATGCATTAGTAAGTTGAATACACCTTTCGGTATATACCTTGTTCATCCCTTTAACATTGACCAATGGAATAGAACATAAGCTTTCCAATAAAAGAAAGTACACTAAGAAAATTGGATCATAATTTTTGTTGTTGTGTGGTACAGTACCCATACCATAAAAAGCGTATCAGCAAATTAGAAAAGTTGCATAGATTTAACGACCTATACGTGATACAGTATTAGGAAAGACTGAAGACCTTAAATATGCCAGAAGTAGAAGACAGAAGGAAAAAAATAAGAGGCAGTATGATCACTATATACCAAATTGTAAGAGTTTTAGTTTAGTTCATTTATTATGCACCCCATACCCATCTTGTGGGCGGTAGTGGAAAGGGTTACAGAGGCACATAATGGGCTCAGGGACTGAACCCCACAATTCATTTAGCTAAGCAAGTTACAATCTTGATGAGCTAGTTACAAAATTCAATATAAGTCATCACATCATCAATTTTTTCGAGATCGACCTCAAGTACAGGTTCTAAATTAAGCAACTGACATATGTGGAGAGCTAGTGTCAAAATTTATATGTTTGTCCTGCACACCGCCCCCCATCCAGTGGGCAGCGGTGGATAGGTTACAATCAATTGTAAGAGAAATTGAGAAAGTTGTTAAGGGAAAACTTTGAAATTCGCAACTTAAAGAACAAGAAGTAAATATTCAAGCTTTAAAAAGTGCTAAAAATGTATGAGAATTCCATTTTGTAAACGGTTCTAGTTGGGCATCTAGTTTCCTGGGATGCCATCAATTCAGCTGGCTGGTGCTGGTTATAGTGTTACTGTTGGTTATGTTTGTAGTGTTACCGTTAGTGGTGGTAGTGTTAAGGCAAGGCAATTATCGGGAGAAAGCGCCAAGCCATTATGACTATATAGTACTTGGAAGGGATTAGGATAAAGATTTGCAATGGGATGGGGGAAAGGAGTGGTGCCCAACCACTTGGACGATCAGGGATTGAACACAGACCTGCATGAAGCGAGACCATTGCTCTACTGTCCACACCAGTGTTGGTGGTAGTGATGGTTGTATTGCATAGGGTAGTTGGGGTTGTAAAGATAATGGTAGTGAACATAGTGGCAGTGATCAGTTATATTTAGAGGATTTCGGGGTTTAGCGTTCCCGCAGCCCGATCCTCGACCAGGCCTCCATTTTGTTACACCCCCCCCCCAGGAAGCAGCCCATAGAAGCTGTCTAACCACCAGGTACTTATTTACTGCTAGGTGAACATGAGCATCAGGGTGAAAGAAGCTCTGCCCATTTGTTTCTGCCGCCTCCAGAGATCGAACCCAGAACCTCAAGACTACTAATCCCGAGCGCTGTCACTCAGCTGTCAGGTAGTGTTCGCCGCAATAATGTTGGCTGTGGTCAAGGTAGGAGGTGAAGCCCGATTTCAAATTCAAAATTCAAAATATTTATTAAGGTAAAAGTACATACCTGTACTTAGAAGATGAGTTACAAACATAATGTTGGATTTATAGATACAGCTAGTACATACAATACCTAAAGCCACTAATACGCACAGCATTTCGGGCAAATTTCTCGAACATTACTAGAGGTACTAATAGGTAGGCTGACGACACAACCTTCATTTACTCCAGTCCTGATCCCCTTGCTCTAAATGCCACAGTAAATACTGAGCTAAATAAAGTTCATCTGTGGCTAACTGCCAACAAACTCACCCTTAACATTGACAAAACTTTCTATATTCTGTTTGGCAATAAATCCTCTAATCAAATAAATCTCAAAATAAACAATACCCAAATTTGTAACAAATTAGATGGCAAATTCCTTGGCATTCTCATTGACCACAAGCTGAATTTCCAGGGACACATTCTAAACATATCAAAAAAAGTTTCAAAAACTGTGGGCATTCTTTCTAAGATCAGATATTATGTACCACGCCCTGCCCTGGTGACTCTCTATTACTCCCTTATCTATCCATATCTCAACTATGGTATTTGTGCTTGGGGCTCTACTACCCAAAATCACTTACGTCCTCTAATTACTCAACACAAAGCTGCTATTAGGACAATATCCAATTCTGGCCCCAGACATCACTCGGTACCCCTACTCAAATCTCTGAATATGTTAGACATTAAGTCACTACACATTCTCTCATGTGTATTATACATATATAAAACGCTAAACTATAATGCCAATCCTGATCTCAAAAGCTTCATAGAAGGTTGTAACAGAACCCATGAGCACCACACCAGAAATAAATACAGTTTTGATATTCCTAGAGTACGACTTAATCAAACCAGAAATGCTCTACAAATCAAGGGGCCCAGAATGTGGAATGACCTTCCCAACCATGTTAAAGACTGTACCTCTCTCAACCAGTTTAAGTTAAAAACGAAGCTATACCTAATAAATTCCCTGTAACCTACCTTACCCCTCGATTGTCAACCCATGTATGTTTTTTTTTTTTTTTCAAATCAACGCTGTTTGAATGTAATTTTCTGTAATAATTTGTAATTGTATTTGTGCTGCTTTTTCAACAATGTTCCCCCCTCTTTTACCTATATTTTTATTTGTACTCAACGCATTTTTTTCTTTTTACCCATTAGTTTTAAGCTTTAGTCATTAGTGTTTTTTCCTGCCCGAAACGCTTTGCGTAATAGTGGCTTTAGATTCAGATTCAGATTCAGATTCAGATGTTTATTCAGGTAAGGTATATACATACAAGTGATGTTACATTAATGGATTGATATATAGATAGAGCTAGTACATACAATGCCTAAAGCCACTATTACGCAATGCGTTTCGGGCAAGAAAAACATTAATATCTAGAACTTAATACTAATTGAGCATAAAGAATAAAAGATGTTGAGAACAAATACAAATAAAGATAAAAAAAAAAGGGGGAACATGACTGAAAAAGCAGCACAAATACAATAGGTTGACAAACAGTGTTTATTAAAAAAAAGAAAAAAAGAAAATAACAGACATGGGTTGACAATAGAGGAGTGAGGTAGATTACAGGGAATTTATTAGGTAGTGTTTAGTTTTTATCTTAAACTGGTTGAGAGAGGTACAGTCTTTAACATGGTTGGGAAGGTCATTCCACATTCTGGGCCCCTTGATTTGCAGAGCATTTCTAGTTTGATTAAGACGTACTCTAGGAATATCAAAACTGTATTTATTTCTGGTGTGGTGCTCATGGGTTCTGTTACAACCTTCTATGAAGCTTTTAAGATCAGGATTGGCATTATAGTTTAGCGTTTTATATATGTATAATACACATGAGAGAATGTGCAGTGACTTAATATCTAACATATTAAGAGATTTGAGTAGGGGTACCGAGTGATGTCTGGGGCCAGAGTTGGATATTGTTCTAATAGCGGCTTTGTGTTGGGTAATTAGAGGACGTAAGTGATTTTGGGTAGTAGAACCCCAAGCACAAATACCATAGTTGAGATAAGGATAGATAAGGGAGTAATAGAGAGTCACCAGAGCAGGGCGTGGTACATAATATCTGATCTTAGAAAGAATGCCCACAGTTTTTGAAACTTTTTTTGATATATTTAGAATGTGTCCCTGGAAATTCAGCTTGTGGTCAATGAGAATGCCAAGGAATTTGCCATCTAATTTGTTACAAATTTGGGTATTGTTTATTTTGAGATTTATAAGACTAGAGGATTTATTGCCAAACAGAATATAGAAGGTTTTGTCAATGTTAAGGGTGAGTTTGTTGGCAGTTAGCCAAAGATGGACTTTATTTAGCTCAGTATTTACTGTGGCATTTAGAGCAAGAGGGTCAGGACTGGAGTAAATGAAGGTTGTGTCGTCAGCAAATAGAATTGGTTTGAGGTGTTGGGAGGCATTTGGAAGGTCATTAATGTAGATGAGAAAGAGGAGAGGGCCAAGTATGCTGCCCTGAGGAACACCAATGTTGATGGGTAGGGTGGGAGAAATTGTATTATTCACAGAAACATATTGGAGCCTATCAGTAAGGTAGGACTCGAGGTATTGTAGGGAGTGTCCTCTGACTCCATAATGATGTAATTTAAGAAGAAGGTTTTGGTGGTTGACAGTATCAAAAGCTTTACGCAGGTCCACAAATAACCCAACAAACCCAAGGCTTTAGGCATTGTATGTACTAGCTCTATCTATAAAGCCAACAAACTTTGTAAAATCTCTTTATGTATGTACCTTTATGTATGTAAATGTAAATTTTTGTATGTAAAATCTCTGTATGTATGTACTAAACCCAAGGCTTTAGGCATTGTATGTACTAGCTCTATCTATAAAGCCAACAAACTTTGTAAAATCTCTTTATGTATGTACCTTTACCTAAATAAAAATTATTATTATTATTATTATTATAGGTAAATATGCAAACACATTTTAATCTTCACAATAAAGTCATAATCAACATTATGATTTTTGTTTAAAGTCTGTTCATAGAACAAACCACCATGTGTCACTTTAATAAGTACTGTACTTCAACTTTATGTTCCTTAAATACCCACTGCAAGAAAGATCAATAAATCTCCACAAGTGCTTACATGATGTTCACCACAAGTTTGTCTTCAGAGCAGCCTGGTGACATGACGATGCTACCTCGGCCAATTACACTGATGGTCGCCAGGCCCGTCTGCATGAATGCTGGGATCTGAACCACACGAGAAAGGTTTGGCAGAGTTAGTGCATCATATCGCAGATGAAGGTATTGCAAAGTTAGTGCATTGCTTGCTTCTTTATTGACAGCAGAGGAGCGTTAGAGTCTTTAAATAGCAGACGCCCAGTATATCAGAATATTGTGATAGAGTGTAGAGAGAATGTTAAGAGACTAGAAAAAACTGGGTATAAAGTAAGATTCATGTGGATCCCTTCACATGTGGGAATACTGTTGAATGAGGTAGTTGATGACATAGCGAAGAGAGCCACTGAAAAAACTCTTGTTGATGTTGTATGTCAGTTAACCTTGAAACAAATAAAAACAAGACTCAAGGTGATTCAGGAGGGTGAAGAAATGATAAAGAGAATGGCAATGGTGGACAGTAGTAACACACTTAAGAATTATTCAATAATAAATACAAATTCGACCTTCACTTATGGTAAAGGAAAGTCTACTTGGAAGGATTCAATTTACACGAGATTACGATTAGGATATAAATATATCTGGCAATACGGTGTTGATGTCAGTGAACAAGATAAGGAGTGTAAATTATGTAGTATGCCGTACGCCCACACCTTAGAACATTATGTATTAGAGTGTCACCTTATTGAAAAATATAGAAATAAGGAAATAAATAGTGTACCACATCAAATTGTTTGGATGTGTGACAATGGTATAATAGACAGTATACTTAGGAGCTACAAGAATTTTGCCCCAAGAATGTAACAATTATATGCTGTACTTGCTGTATGCAATGTTAAATGGGATTCTTGTACTGTTATATGTCTATTTGTACTCACTGAATTTGTGCGCCCCTTGACGGACTTGAAGTAGAGGGGGGTAGAAATAGCCTAAGCTACTCTATCCCTTTGAGATGTATTTATTGCTTATCTCAATAAACATACTTGAACTTGAACTTGAACTTGCATTACACCATTCACACTTAGGATCAATATATGGTTAAATTTAGGCATTGCTTTAAATCTCAGAAATTTTTCAGAAATTTATACTTATTATTTTGTTTATGAATAAACGCAACAGAAAGGCCCTTATGACAAGTGTAAAGGACAGAACTTTTGAATTAGAGTGGGGCGCCACTTACCTCACTGTCACAAGAATAGCCACTTACCATCACCAGGGTGGTCACTTACCGTCACTGTGAGGCTACAGGTGATGCCTTTTGGATAGTTGTTCGGATAACCCGGTGTACACCAGTTAGCTTGGGAGCCATTGGAGATGAGTACTATCAGGTTACATGCTGGATGGGAAGCAACAAAATCTTTGGTTTAATATGCTCCCGCCCTATTGTCCTGTATTTTGTTTAATATGTTGAACTTATTGTACTTTATTCGTTTGTGAGGTGTATTCTGTACCAATACACTGTATCAGTATACAATGGAAATTATTCTTAGTGACCACTGTTGGTCCTTACTCAGTCTTTTAAACAAAGAACATATTAATTGGATATACACCAAGAAATGCTAATAATTTCTACAAAATATTTTCTTAGCACAAAATAGCTCAATATTTACCGATCTGGTAAAAAAATCTGTATTTAATAGAACAGTAACTTCAGAAATCTGAAAATATATTTCTATCAAGAAAAAATAATGAAATTCAGAATTCTTTCCGGATATCACGTAAGAGACTTTCCGGATTTTTTAAGTTTCCGTTACATTGAATTCCGGATTAGTGCGGTCGAACTGGATAATTTTGGAAATAATTAACAGTAGTATAGTTATCAACATACTTGTATTGATGGGAGCAGACGTAGTGGTGATTTTAATAATAGGTCTTGTGGTGGTGGTAGTAGTTGGTGTGCTTGTTGTGGGCAGAGTAATGGGGGTTGTTGACAGTGTTGTGGTATTTGAAGTAGTTTTAATAGTAGTTAAGGTGGTTGTTGGCGTTGTTTTAGTGATGAGTGTCGTGGGTGATGTAATTATAGTGGTGGGTGCTGTAGTTGTAGTGGGGATTGGTGGGGTTTGGTTTGTGGTCGTAGTAGTGGTTGTGTCGGTTGTTGGTGGGATTGTATATGTGGTTGTTGTGGTAGTTGTAGAGGTGGTTGGTGTGGCTGTAGCAATAGCTGTAATAGTTGATGTGGTTGTAAGTGCGATTGGTGTGGGTGCCGTGACTGATGTGGTTGTAGTCGTAGATGTCATAGTTGTAGGAGAAACTGGAATGGTTGTAATAGTTGTATGGGTGATTGCTGTAGTTGTATTAGTGACTATGATGGTGGATGTGGTTATAGGTGTGGTTGCTACGGTGGTAAATATGATTTTAGTTGTGGTTAGCACGATTGTAGAGATGGTTGACGTGATTAGGCTTGTGGTTGCATTGTATATAGTGACAGTTGTAGTTGTGGATGGCGTTGATGTATGGGTGGATGAAGTTGTATATGGTGTAGATATACGTGGGGTTGTTGTGGTTGTTATAGAAGTAAATAATGTGGTTGTAGTGGTCTTTGAAGTATCTACAGAGGAGGCTGATGTAGTTGATATTGTGGATACCGTAGGCGTGGTTGATAAGGTTAAATCGATGGTTGACTTGGTTGTAGGGATAGTTGACGTGGCTGTAGTGATGTATGTTGTGGCTGTAGCTTCTATTGGCGTTGTTGTCGTGGTTGTAGGGATGGTTGTAACACTAGATGTAAGACTTATAATGGTGGATGTTGATATAGATGTGGTTGTTATGGTTGGCGTGGTTGTAGTAGTGATTGACATTGCAGTAGGATTAATTGACGTGTTTGAATTTACAGTTGGTATGGTGGTAGCGGGGGTTGAAATAGTTATGGATGTTGTACTGGTGATTGAAGTGTCTGTACTGGTGGCTGGCGTAGTTTGAATGGTAGATGTTGTTGTCGGGGTGGTCGACGTGGTTGTAGTAGTGGATGTCGTGTCTGAAGTGGTAAATGGCGTGGTTGTAGAGGTTGTTGACATGGTTGTGATGGTAGTAGGAACAGTTGTGGTAATATTTGTATTTGTGGTTGAAGTATTTGTAGTAGTTACTGTAATGATGGATATGATTATAGGTGTGGTGGTGGTGGTTGTGGTTGACATCCTTGTAAAGGTAATTGGAGTGGTTATGGTAGTTGATGTGTTTGTAGTGGTCTCTGAATTATCGCTAGTTGTGGTTGGTGTGGCTGACGCGGTTGTGTTGTCGGTTGTAAGAGTGGTTGGCGTGGTTAAATCGGTAGTTGACTTGGTTATTGGGGTGGGTGACGTGGCTGTAGTAATAGGTTCCGTGCTTGTATAAATGTTCGACGAGGTTGTATGACTGGTTGAAGAGGTTGTATGACTGGTTGAAGAGGTAGTTAGCGTGGCTTCAGTGATGGATGTCAATAATGCAGCTGTTGTTGACGTGGTTGTAGTTGTGGTTAGTGTTGTTGCCGAACTGACTCGCGTGGTAGTTGTTATAGTTGGTGTGGCAATAGGGGTGGTTGAAAGGGTTATGGTTGAGATGGTTGTAGTAGTGATTGAAACATATGAAGTTGTGGTTGTTATGGTGAAAGGGATGCTTGGTATGTTTGTAGCAAATGTGGTTGTAATCGCCTTTGAAGCATCATATGTAGTGGCTGTTGGTGTGAGTGTTGTTGATGTGGTTGTAGTGGAGGTTGTAAAAGTGGATGATGTAATTAATGAAGTGGTTGTAGTGTTTGTTGTAAGGGTAGTTTGTGTGTTTGAAGTGGTGGATTTCGTGGTTGTAGAGTTATATGACATGAATTCAGCGGTTATTGAAGTATCTGTGGTGACATTTGTGAGAATGGTTGACACCGTTAAACAGGTGGTTGACGTGGTTGTAGTGGTGGTTGGCGTGCTTGTAGTGGTGGGTGTCGTGGTTGCGGTGTTGGAAGTTGTAATGTACATGATTAAAGAGGTAGTTAGCGTGGATATATCGGTGGATGTGGCTGTAGGTGTTGTTAACGTGGTTATTGTTGTGGTGTTAGGGATGATTGTAGTTGATGTATCGGTAGTAGGTGTAGTAGTGGTTGTAATGATAGTTGTTGATATTTGTGTGATTCTTGTGGTGGTTGGCGTGGTTGAAGTAACAGATGGTAGAATGGTAGCGTTAGCTGAAGTGGTTATTGTTGTTGTGGTTGTAGTAGTGATTGAAGTGTCTGTAAGGGTGGTTGGTGTAGTTGTTACCAATGCTGAAGAGTTAATTGATGTGGTTAGCGTCATTGTGGTATATGTGGTTATTGTTGTGTTTGATGAATCTATAGTGGTTCTTTGTGTGAGTGTTGTTGATGTGGTTGTAGAAAAGGTTGTAGGAATGGTTGACGGAGTTAACGATGTGACTGACGTGGTTATTGTGGTTGTAGAGAGAGTTTTATTGGTAAATGACGGCACAGTGACTGACGTGGTTGTAGGCGAAGATGTCATAGTTGTAGGAGAAACTGGAGTGGTTGTAGAAGTAGTTGTATGGGTGGTTGGTGTACTTGTAGTTGTGACTATGATGGTGGATGTGGTTATAGGTGTGGTTGTTATGGTGGTAGATGTGATTTTAGTAGTGCTTGGTACGGTTGTAGAGATGTTTGACGTGATTGTGGTTGAATTGTCTGCTGCAACTGTGGTTGGTGAAGTTGTACATGGTGTAGATATACAGGTTGTTGTCGTCGTTGTTGATGTAAATAACGTGGTTGTAGTGGTTTCTGAAGTGTCTCCAGAGGTTGTTGATGTCACTGATGTTAACAGGGTTGTGGTGTCTGTTGCAGGGATGGTTAACAAACCGGCGGTTGACTTGGTTGCAGTGGTTGTAGGGGTAGTTAACGTGGTTGTAGCTGTTGTTGGCGTGGGTATTATTGTTGTCGTATTGATGGTTGTAACACTGGATGTATGGGTAGTAGGTGTAGCAGTAGTGGTTGTAATGATGGTGGTTGATATAGGTGTACTTGTTGTAGTGGTTGTATTAGTAGTTGGCGTTGTTGAAGGGGTGAGTGACATGGTTGGAGTGGTGGTAACGTTAGTTGAAGTGGTTGTAGCAGTGACTGAAGTGTCTATAGTGGTCGTGGTTTGTGTAATTGTGGTAGCAGATGCTGTAAAGTTGGTTGAAGTGGTTGGAATTGCTGATGGTGTGGTTGGTGTGATTGTGGTATGTTTGGTTGTTGTGGTCGTCGATGAATCTGTTGTGGTTGTTGGTGCGAGAGTTTGTGACGTGGTTGTAGTAGAGGTTGTAGGAGTGGTTGACGTAGTTGACAATATGATTGACATGGTTGTTGTGGTTGTAGAGGAAGTTACGGTGGTAAATGTGTTCTCAGCGGTTATTGACGTGGTTATTGTTGTGTTATTAGGAGTAGTTGTAGAGGTGGTTGTAGTTGCAGTGGTGGGTGTAGTTATGTGTGTGGTTGTTATGGTGATTGGCGTTGTTATAGCTATTGTTGACGTGTTTGTCATGGTGATTGCAGAGATGGTTGTAGCAATAGTTGTTTGTGAAGTAGGTGTAGTTATTGTAGTGGTTGTAATAGTGGATGTTGTGATTTGAGTGGTTGTAATAATGATTGACATTGTTGTAGAGGTGATTAATGTGGTTAATGTTATATTTGGTATGGCAGTATTGGTGGTTGAAATGGTTGTGGTTGATGTGGTTGCAGTACTAATAGAAGTGCCTGTAGTGGTAGTTGGTGTAGTTGGGTTTGGCGTTGTTGTTGAGGTGGTTGGCGAGATTCGAATGTCGGATTGTGTGGTTGTAGGGGTGGTTAGCGTGGTTGTTGTATATATGATAGTTGTGATGTTTGAAGAATCTTTAGTGATAGTTGGTGTGGTTGATGTTGACGTGGTTGTGGTTGTACTAATGGTTGAAATTGTTAAATTGGTAGCTGGCTTGATTGTTGTGGTTAATGGGGTGGCTGACGTAGTTGTAGTGATGGGTGTAATGGTTGTAGAAGTGTTTAACGTGGTTGTGTGAGTTGATTTGGAGTTAGTTGGTGTGGGTGGAGTCGTGGTTGTATCTGTTGTCGACGTCATTGTTGTTGTGGTGGTGGTGGTTGGAATAGTTGTAGCGACAGCTGTTTGGGTGGTTGTAGTTGTGGTTTTAGTTGGGGATGTTAATAGAAGTGTGGTTGTTTTGGTGATTGGGATGGTTGTTGTGGTAGTTGACGTATCTGTAGCAGTGGGTGTCGTGGTTGTAGCTGGTGTTGACGTGGGTGTTATGATGGTATTTTGGATGGTTGTAGCAAAAGTTGGTTGTGTAGCTGTTGATGTAAGTGCTGTTGTTATGATTAACGTGGTTGTTGTAGTTGTTGTTGTAGGGGTGACCAACATAACTGATTGTGTAGTGGGAGTGGTTGACAGGGTTATTGTTGATGTAGTTATGATTGAAGTGTCTCTACTGGTTGATTTATAGGTGGTTAACGTGGATGGAGTGATGTATAATATTGTAGAGGTTGTAATTGTGGTAGCTGTGGTTGTAGTCGTCTTTGAGGTATCTGTAGTGGTGGTTTGTGCTAGTGTTGTTAACGTGGTTGTAGAAAAGGTTGTAGGAATAGTTGACGTAGTTGACGATATGACTGACGTGGTTTTTGTGGTTGTAGAGAGAGTTTTATTGGTAAATGACAGCACAGTGACTGACGTGGTTGTAGTCGAAGATGTCTTAGTTGTAGGAGAAATTGGAGTGGTTGTAGAAGTAGTTGTATGGATGGTTGGTGTACTTGTAGTTGTGACTATGATGGTGGATGTGGTTATAGGTGTAGCTGCTACGGTGGTAGATGTGATTTTAGTAGAGGTTGGCACGATTGTAGAGATGTTTGACGTGATTGTGGTTGAATTGTCTGATACAACGGTGGATGGCGAAGTTGTACACGGTGTAGATGTACAGGTTGTTGTCGTGGTTGTTGATGTAAATAACGTGGTTGTAGTGGTGTCTGAAGTATCTCCAGAGGTTGTTGATGTAACAGATGTTGACAGGGTTGTGGTGTCTGTTGCACTGGTGGTTAACAAATCGGCGGTTGACTTGGTTGCAGTGGTTGTAGGAGTAGTTAACGTGGTTGTAGCTGTTGTTGACGTGGATATTGTTGTTGTCGAATTGATGGTTGTAAGAATGGGTGTATGAGTAGTAGGTGTAGCATTAGTGGTTGTAATGATGGTGGTTGATATAGGTGTACTTGTTGTAGTGGTTGTATTAGTAGTTGGCGTTATTGAAGGGGTGAGTGACATGGTTGGAGTGGTAGTAACGATAGTTGAAGTGGTTGTAGCAGTGACTGAAGAGTCTATAGTAGTGGTGGTTTGTGTAATTGTGGTAGCAGATGCTGTAGAGTTGGTTGAAGTGGTTGGATTTGCTGTTGGTGTGGTTGGTGTGATTGTGGTATATTTGGTTGTTGTGGACTTCGATGAATCTGTTGGGGTTGTTGGTGCGGGTGTTAGTGACGTGGTTGTAGGAGAGGTTGTAGGAGTGGTTGACATAGTAGACGACATGAATGACATGGTTGTTGTGGTTGTAGAGGTTACGGTGGTAAATTTGTTCTCAGCCGTTATTGACGTGGTTATTGTTGTGTTATTAGTAGTTGTGGAGGTGGTTGTAGTTGCCGTGGTGGATGTAGTTATGTGTGTGGTTGTTATGGTGATTGGCGTTGTTATAGCTATTGTTAACGTGTTTGTCATGGTGATTGCAGAGATGGTTGTAGCAATAGTTGCTTGTGAAGTTGGTGTAGTTACTGTAGTGGTTGTATTAGTAGATGTTGTGATTTGCGTGGTTGTAATAATGATTGACATTGTTGTAGAGGTGATTAATGTGGTTAATGTTATATTTGGTATGGCAGTATTGGTGGTTGAAATGGTTGTGGTTGATGTGGTTGCAGTACTAATAGAAGTGCCAGTAGTGGTAGTTGATGTAGTTGGGTTTGGCGTTGTTGTTGAGGTGGTTGGCGTGGTTCGAATGTCGGATTGTGTGGTTGTAGGGGTGGGTAGCGTGGTTGTTGTATATATGATAGTTGTGATGTTTGAAGAATCTGTAGAGATGGTTGGTGTGGTTGATGTTGACGTGGTTGTGGTTGTATTAATGGTTGAAATTATAAAAACGGTAGCTGGCATGGTTATTGTGGTTATCGGGGTGGCTGACGTAGTTGTAGTGATGGGTGTAACGGTTGTTGAAGTGTTTAACGTGGTTGTGTGAATTGTTGTAGAATTAGTTGATATGGTTGCGGTCGTTGTTGTATCTGTTGTCGACGTCGTTGTTGTGGTGGTGGTGGTTGGGACAGTTGTAGCGACAGCTGTTTGGGTGGTTGTAGTTGTGGTTTTAGTTGAAGATGTTAATACAGGTGTGGTTGTTGTGGTAGTTGACGTATCTATAGCAGTGGGTGTCGTGGTTGTAGCTGTTGTTGACGTGTGTGTAATGATGGTTTTTGTGATGGTTGTAGAAAAAGTTGTTTGTGTAGCTGTTGTAATGGTAGATGTTGATGTAAGTGCTGTTGTTGTGATTAGCGTGGTTGTTGTAGTTGTTGTTGTAGGGGTGACCAACATAACTGATTGTGTAGTGGGAGTGGTTGACAGGGTTATGGTTGATGTAGTTATGATTGAAGTGTCTCTACTGGTTGATTTATAGGTGGTTAACGTGGATGGAGTGATATATAATATAGTAGAGGTTGTAATTGTGGTAGGTGTGGTTGTAGTCGTCTTTGAGGTATCTGTAGTGGTGGTTTTTGTGATTGTTGTTGTCGTGGTTGTAGTGGAGATTGTAGAAGTGGTTAACATAGGTATGAATGTAACTGGCGTGGTTGTTGTTGTAGTGGTTGTTGATGTAGTTGTAGCAGTTGTTGTAAAAGTAGATGGTATGTTTGGAGTGGTGGATTCCGTAGTTGTAAAGATAAAAGACATACTTGGTACGGTTGTTGACGTGGTTGTGGTGTTAGTTGTGGGACTGGCTGACGTAGATAAATAGGTTGTGGACTCGGTTGGCGTGGTTGTAGGAATGGTTGACATAGCTATGGTGATGGGTGTCGAGGTCGTGTGCATGGTTGTAGAGGAAGTTGGCGTGGCAGTATCAGTGGTTGTCAGGGTTGTATGTATTAACTTGGTTGTTTCTGTTACAACCATGGTTGTAGCATATGTATAGGTAGTAGGTATGGTTGTAGTGCTGGTTGCAATGATGGTTGTTGATATCGGTATGCTTGTTGTGGTGGCTGGCGTGGTTGCAGTAGTGTCTGACGTTGTTGTGGATGTGATTGACGAGGATAAAATGATAGTTGTTGTGCTGGTAGCGTTGGTCGAAGTGGTTATGGCAGGTGTGGTTATAGCAGCGATTGTAGTGTATGTAGGTGTGGTTGGTGTAGTTGGAATAGTGGATTGTGTGGTTGTAGGGGGAGTTAACGTGATTGTGGTAGATGTAGGGGTAACCCTTAAAGTATCTGTAGTAATAGTTGGTGTGATTCTTGTTGTCGTGGTTGTGGTTAAGGTTGTAGAAGTGGTTGTCATAGTTAAAGATGTTGTTGTCGTTGTTGTAGGGGTAAATGACATGGTTGGTGGGGGTCTTGACGTGGTAGATATTGTAGGGGTGGTTGATGTAGTTGTAGTGGTAATTAGTGTGAGTGTTGTTGACGGGATTGTTGTTGAGTTTGAAGGAGTAGGTAACGTAGGAGAATTGGAGATTGACGTGGTGATTGTGGTTGTAGGGGTGGCTGACATGGTTGTAGTGTCGAACTTCGTGTTTATGGGTGTGATTAACGTGAATGTAGTGGTGATTATAAGGGTGGTTGTATAAGTGATTGACGTGGCTGCAGACGTGGTTGATGTGGTTGCAGGAGTAGCTGACGTCGTTGCAATGGTGGTTGTAGAGGCCACTGATGTGATTTCAGGGAAGACTGACGTTGTTATAAAGTTGTTTGACGTAGTTGTAGGTGTGGTTGTATTGATAAAAGTCGTGGTTAGCGTGGTTGAAGTGGTAGTTACGGAGACACCGACTCCGGTGGTGGTCACATCTGAAAAAAAAGAGATAGTGTTTTTTTAGTTGTCGTGGTAGTATTAAGGTGGTTGTGTGGTGATTGATGTGTTAAGGTAGTCGTGTGGTGATTGATGTGTTAAGGTAGTCAAGTGGTGATTGATGTGTTAAGGTAGTCAAGTGGTGATTGATGTGTTAAAGTAGTCGTGTGGTGATTGATGTGTTAAGGTAGCCGTGTGTGGTGATTGATGTGTTAGGGTAGTCGTGTGGTGATTGATGTGTTAAGGTAGTCGTGTGGTGATTGATGTGTTAAGGTAGTCGTGTAGTGATTGATGTGTTAAGGTAGTCGTGTGGTGATTGATGTGTTAAGGTAGTCATGTAGTGATTGATGTGTTAAGGTAGTCGTGTGGTGATTGATGTTTTAAGGTAGTCGTGTGGTGATTGTTATCTTGGGTACTCTATAGTGACAGCTGGATGTTATATACCTAATCTGTTGCTATAAATATATGTCATGATAGCTGTGACAAACTGAGTTATAGTTAATCAACTGTAACACGTTGTGAAGTATTTCGGTGTTATGATATACTAATGCAACAAGGTTGAAGGACTAAGCAACACGTGTGTACCAGTCTTCAGAGTGAGACAAAGTTGACTTTACACATTTAAGGAGTTTTACACTAGGAATTTATTATTATTATTATTATTATTATTATTATTATTATTATTATTATTATTATTTTGAGCTATGATCAAGTTTGAATAATGAAAAATATATTCGTTTGTAACAATTCATTGTTGGGGGACAGGCAGCCAGTGTATATATACATGTTAGGATTATATATCGGTCAGACACAGGTAATGTCTTTAATCGGGGAATGACTTTGGTAAAGGTGATTGATTTACTTTAAAACGACTCTTCTGAGTGAAGTTCGGCTCTCAACCGAGGATCCCGGGTTCAATCCTCGGGCAGGACAGAGACGGTTGGGCACGTTTCCCTTCACCTGATACCTCGCTTCTCCTAACTCCTGGCGAAGGTCAAAACTTAGCCTGCGGTGAACTCGATAAGTACAGGTTTCTTGTCCACGACAACGGGAAACAAAATTAAATGCTAGTTGACCATCAGCAGGAAATGGCGTAAGTGAGTAGTTGAGTAGTTAGCTGGGGAAAAAGAGCTTTTTGTCTGCACTCAAACCCTTATTTATCCCCCCCCCCCTCTATTGTCCCTTTGAAACACAGATGTGTAACTCACTGTCTACGGGACCAATGGGAACCTTGCAGTAGCAGCGCCTGTAGTTGATGTACCGCACTTGGATGCTGTACCCTGGTCTCTGTACCGCCGTCACAACATGAAACGTAAGACAATTATCAGATGAAAGCACTAAGCTAGTAGGACAATATACCACTAGAAGGGGATATGACGACACACCAAGATCTGGTATATGAGAATTGAATGACTAACGGTATAATCATTTAATCGAATGGTAAACGAATATACACATACAGAGACATTACCTGCACGCCATTCATGTATTTAAGGACTAACACAAAGATTTAGTGAAAACTGTAGTTTTGCTAACCAGTTTGTCGGCCCAAGCTTGATAGGTTTCACGCCAGGTGGCAACACTAGCCTCAGCAATACCCAGCGTCAACACCAGCGTCAACACCAACATCCTGCCAGCAAGAAAACACATGAACAACACAAGCTTCCTCAACACATAGTTATATTAATTAGTATTACTATTTTTTTTTGTCCAAGAATAAGACGTATCATTTTAATTAATTTAAAATTTCTTGCATTTTAAACTACCGTTGAGATCAAATTATTTATATTTAAATGATCATTATCTAGTTTGTTGACATATTGTCATTAACTTGGTTTCGTGTTGGACTTGAGGACTATCAGCCTCTGGAGGGCTATTAAGACCTCTACAGTAGCGTTCTAACCAACTAGAAAGTGTACTGTAGCCCTGAACATTGTCTACAGCTAAAGTAAACTGTTTGTGTATATACACCGAGAAGAGGAGTACACCTCTCTGCATATATATATATATATATATATATATATATATATATATATATATATATATATATATATATATATATATATATATATATATATATGTCGTACCTAATAGCCAGAACGCACTTCTCAGCCTACTATTCAAGGCCCGATTTGCCTAATAAGCCAAGTTTTCATGAATTAATGTTTTTTCGTCTACCTAACCTACCTAACCTAACCTAACCTAGCTCTTTTTGGCTACCTAACCTAACCTTACCTATAAATATAGGTTAGGTTAGGTTAGGTAGGGTTGGTTAGGTTCGGTCATATATCTACGTTAATTTTAACTCCAATAAAAAAAATTGACCTCATACATAGAGAAAAGGGTTGCTTTATCATTTCATAAGAAAAAAATTATAGTAAATATATTTATTCAGGAAAACTTGGCTTATTAGGCAAATCGGGCCTTGAATAGTAGGCTGAGAAGTGAGTTCTGGCTACTAGGTACGACATATATATATATATATATATATATATATATATATATATATATATATATATATATATATATATATATATATATATATATATATATATATATATATATATATATATATATATATATATATATATATATATATATATATATATATATATATATATATATATATATATATATATATATTGAGACTAATGGCTCTCACCTGATAATTATACCTCACAGACTTAACATATTACATGCACATATATGTGTAAAGAGAGACTTTCAATAAATGTAAATGAACACATGTGAATTAGATACAAGAGAACACACGCTGGCGGAGGCGGCACCGTTCCTCCATATCTTGAACACTAGTCACTCATAGAAAGTTTGACATCAATTGGAAACTATTTTCTCATAATAATCAAAGCCACTGTATACTGAAAGCCAGTGTTACAGTTGTTAGAGTGAGAGCTTTTCCTTTCCATGGCAAATGGTAAGCCTTTCTCTGCCTGATTTCCCTGGAACGCACCCCATCAATCGATTTACATCCAGATCCTCAATTATTGCTGGGTTAAGATTATCGTCATTATTAATATATTTATTGACAAAATTAACATACAATTTTGCCTAATCGGAGTAATTTGGTTATGTTTTATTGAAATGAAGATGCTGCTCATTTCACTACCACATATGACAGACGATCATAGGTCTAAATTGTTAATTTGAAAACATATATAATTCATAAGATTTCAACCTACTTAGATTATATAAATTTTTTGAACAGCTTTGAACAGTTAAATTTCAGTGCCCAGTCGATCCTCCCTGTGCCATATGACAATAACATAACTGGCAAACGACGAGTCACAATACCGTGGCTGAAGACACGACGACCAAACCACACAATTAACACAAGGGGAACACGCACAAGGGGACACAGGTGGAAACTGAGTGCCCAAATGAGCCACAGAGATATTAGAAAGAACTTTTTTAGTGTCAGAGTGGTTGACAAATGGAATGCATTAGGGGGTGATGTGGTGGAGGTTGACTCCATACACAGTTTCAAGTGTAGATATGACAGAGCCCGATAGGCTCAGGAATCTGTACACCTGTTGATTGACGGTTGAGAGGCGGGACCAAAGAGCCAGAGCTCAACCCCCGCAATCACAACTAGGTGAGTACACACCGGAAGATGAAGTGACGGTCGTCGGCTCTCCATCTTCTGGTGTGTGGTTTGGTCAACATAACTTGAATACGCACGGGAGAAAACCCTGGGCCAAGGCCTCGAGCTGGTGATGGGTGAGCTAGAGATACGAGGCACACAATTACCTCATCTCGCCGGCTGTGGTGTCTGACAGAGAGGACATCTTTGCCTGCATTCCCCCTTCAGTGCTGAACACCTCCTTCAGTTACTTTGGCTGAGGTATTGAGGGCCAGAAACGCCCACACTCCGTTCCTGCTCATATGCAGAGTACCTTCTGGGACCCCGAGGCACCTGCCACTCCTCTGAACTGAAATGTTTCTGACAGCCGTATATGTATTTTTTTACCGTCGTTAGCTGCGCTGTAATTTGTGGTATATACATAAAGATAACAGTCGTGAGTGATAACACAAGGAGTAGGGAAGACAGTCACGTTTTAATATATGTCTTGGTCATGGGTACCGCAGCGAATGGGGCCCAGGCAAAGCTTAATAATCTCTCTCTCTCTCTCTCTCTCTCTCTCTCTCTCTCTCTCTCTCTCTCTCTCTCTCTCTCTCTCTCTCTCTCTCTCTCTCTCTCTCTCTCTCTCTCTCTCTCTCTCTCTCTCTCTCTCCTCTCTCTCTCTCTCTCTCTCTCTCTCTCTCTCTCTCTCTCTCTCTCTCTCTCTCTCTCTCTCTCTCTCTCTCTCTCTCTCTCTCTCTCTCTCTCTCTCTCTCTCTCTCTCTCTCTCTCTCTCTCTCTCTCTCTCTCTCTCTCTCTCTCTCTCTCTCTCTCTCTCTCTCTCTCTCTCTCTCTCTCTCTCTCTCTCTCTCTCTCTCTCTCTCTCTCTCTCTCTCTCTCATCTCCTGCTAGCCACAGAAGCAGCTCTCTCTATTATATTGATGGTGGCCATGTTGTTTTTATCATATTCCTGTCTGGATCTACTGTCGTTTGGTGGGGAGTTATATATGACTACTACTATGATTTTCTGTCCTCCAGTTGTTATGGTGCCTGATATGTAGTCACTGAAACCTTCACAGCTCTGATTAACCATCTCTTCGAAACTCCAACCTTTTCTTATCAGCAAAGCTACACCACCTCCTCCTCTCCCTTCTCTCTCTTTCCTCACTACACAGTAGTCCTGTGGAAGCACTGCATTTGTTATGGTTTTCGTTAGCTTTGTTTCTGTGAGTGCTATTATGTCTGGGTTTTCTTCCAGTGCCCATTCTCCGAGTTCACTTGTTTTATTTGTTATCCCATCTATGTTAGTGCACATTGTCTTGAAGCTCACTTTCTTCTGTTCATTTCCTTGTCCTCTTCTTGGTGAGCATTCTGCTGGTGAGGAAAGCTGTTCCCTGGCTTGAAGATCTGTGA